AGCAGCCAGTGCCTATCATAATGCACAGATTTGTGAAATACAATCTAACAGTATTGTAAAATGTACATTGTATTAAATTTTCCATGTACGGTTTGTAATAAGAACTGCAAATACATAAATAAGTCAGTTTATTTCTGTAATTTTGCATATTGTTGCACCTGATGGAAATGGAACATTTTATAACTGAAAACATTATGTCAGTCACCATGGGAAGTGACAGCCGTTATAAGCTGGATGGCCCAATCAATGCCCAGGTATTTGACAAATACAAGATTTCCTCACTGCAGAATCCTCACTACAATCCCATGTTCCTACCTTCAGGAGCATAAGAATGAGAGGAACTGAACCTACTTGGCCACAGTGTTGTTGCCGTCAGCATTCCTGCCTTTGGTGAGGTTGTGGAGGAAGTCTAGGAACACCATCCACACATCCAGACATGCATAATAACCCTCCTGCTGGGGCTGGGAACAATACAGCATCTTTTGGTATTTTTCATCTATTTCAGCCATTTTATATAATACTCTTGCATAGCCATTATACCATTATATCAAAATGGAAAATAAAAGAATGACTTTAAGTTACATTCCTGAGACGAAAGACTTAACCATTATTTCATTTATCATTTTCTCGCAGCCACAATAACACTTCACTCACCTGCTTGAAAGTGTACTTGAAAAGTAAGGCAAGAAAGTCCACCACTGGAAACTGGGAGTTGGACTCAAACCTTCTCAGATGGACACTTACAAACAACCTAAGGAATTCTGTGAACTTGTCTATGTACCTGTGGGAGATAATACACCTCTTCAGTACACTTGTTTCTCTGACAATATGTATAGTGTGATACACGTATGTGAAATTTACCCAAACTAATAGCCAAAAGTATGAAATTATCACACAGTCACAACTTAGTAGTATGAACACTTGTTTAACTAAATCAGTAGTGATCCCTTTGACTAGAAAACTTTTGCTATCTGCATCATTCTACTCTAGTGCATCATAAGAATATTAAAACCACTTCATGAATCTTCACATTATCACAGCTGCTTAGAGACTTCCTAGAAAACTGTTTGAAGTACATAAAAAGGAAAACTAATGACATCCTCCTTAGATTACCTGACATGTATAGTTTGGTACAAACTTACATTTCATCTAGCTCTGCTAACTTATTCCCGTATGCCCCTGACGGTGGCTCCCTTGTCAGTCTCTGAAGCAGCTGGAATGTCTGCTGAAACATCCGATACAAGTACTCCTCAAAATCCGCCGGCACGCAGCTCTTGGACATGACTTCGTTTATACAACACATGGCCAGTATGCCCAGGTTGGTGGTCTTGCCAGCGCCGTTGCGGCTGCCTCCAAAGTTTGACAGGCCGCTGGGTGAGCCCTGAGCATTGGGGTCACAGCCGAAACTGGCGAACTTGAAGATGGTGATGAGTAAGGATGGAGTGATGACAGAGGAGAGAGGGATCCAGCTGAAGAGGTGGTTGAGACACTGCAGGGCCTGGGCACTCATGTGTTCACTGTCATGGTCCAGGGATGGCAGGGGTCGGATGTTCTCCTTGTCACTCACCTGGAACATTCCACTGATGATGCTTCCTGTGGGGACACAGAAGTCTTTCTGAGAGGGTTGGCATGTATGTTGATGGAGTCCCATAATAGCAACAAATAATTCAGCTTGAGCAAGAGGCAGACAGTTGAAGTATGTCATATGTACATCAAGTTTCTTCCCAAGGCCTAGTAGAGGATATTAAGCTTGATGTGTGGTGATTGGCCATGGGATGCTATGTTATTGCCATGAGCAATTTTCTACATAATCAAAAGGAGGGGGGGCAGATGCTTACTGAAAGATTCAAACAAAATTGTAGAAAAAAAAACAACAACAAAAAAACATGTATACAAACTTAATCACTGATGGTGTAACAATGTCAATGATTTTTTTCCATCATAGGTTACTACATGCAGCCAACTGTACATATACATGTAGTAACTAAGCTACAGTACAAGACTACTGGTAGTGTTTCTCAAAACCATCAGACAGAGCAGCAGTTTACCAGAGTTGAGAGGTGAGGAGTTCCAGGAGCTGTTACTGGAGTCGTCATGGTTGGGGGAGGGGGGCGGGGTAGCTGTGGTCACCATGTGGCTACTCTTCTCCAGAACCTGTTCCAGCAGACCTGAGGAGAATCAAACCAATCTGGGATGAGAAGGGGCAGACCCGTACCCGGGTAGGAAGGCCTGGTGGAGGCTAGGCAGACCTCATATCTAATACACATGTATAGACTATAGAGTGTAGACACTACCCTACTTTAGCAAAGCCAAATACTACTGAAATAGTCACCTTTATAAACAAAAAGGCATAACTCATGATACACTCTGATGTCACAGAGAAGCACGGGGTTCCATACGCATGGCTGGTGCCCTACTGACCTGAGAGTAGGCTGAGAACAGTTGGCACTTGTTCCAGCAGGAGTCTGTGCAGCTCCTGTTTCCTGGCCACACTCAGGTCCTCCCGTGGACACGCCATCTCCTCTGATGTAGTCTGGAGCATCATCAGGCCAAGAGACGCCGTCTCTGGCTGCTGAATCAGCTAACAGGAAAATATAAGAGTATTATAACAGACAGGAAAGCTGTTTATTAGTTAGTTAGTCAGTCTTATTCATCAGTATCTTTTCCCATAAGTCTACAACACAATTCTTACAAGGAACATCACAAAAATTATTCAAAATGCTATGTGGAACTCTGATTTGATGCTGCTGCAATGAAAACTCATGATCAGAATGTAGAACTAGAAGAAGTAACACAAAAGCATTGCACTTTTGACACAACAGTGGCCATATTCAAAAGGATGCTGGACTTGGAGAGTGGGGATTGAAAAATGACAAAAAACGTTCACAGTGTTCCTTCATGGTCCCTACCTGTAATATATTTGTGAAGAAGTCTGGATAGAAATGTGGCCAGTCGATGCGTCCGATGTCCACGATGACTTTACAGATCTTGTTGCGTACATAGGGGGCAACGACCTTGTGTCTCTCCATGAGGAAGTTGATGAGAGACGTTCTGATCTCCATCTTGTCATGTCCCAGGATGCCCATCCACAGCTTGTTCACAATGTTCTACAGAAATTCAAAGTTGAAAATTCAAATTTTCAGGACTGTAAAACTGTTAGATAACAAGAGGATAAATGTGCACATTTTTAGGAAGAGGAAAACATGTTAGAATTGAGTACTGTACTCAGTACCAAGCAGATTTTGTGTTTACTTGTGTGGCTTTTGCTTCAGCTTTCATTCCATGGTGTATATATACAGAATACATGATAGATTACAAGAAAAGTGACCTACAATGCATGTTGGCTAAAACAACTGGCTTCATATCATTTCATTATCAAACTTACATAACAAGAAGACTGGAGATGTGGTTATGTGTGCCACAAAGACTTATTTTTTTAAAGTTGTTGAGTTGTTGCTGAGTCACTCTTCTTCAGAGTCACTAAATGAACTAATTATCATTGGAAACGTCCAAAGTTATCTTTGTTATTTATCCAGTAGTAGAGTTTGAATTGTCTTTGAATATTGTTTCACTTGGATGTCTAACCTTCAACATACACTATTTATTGGCTCCATCTACCAAGAATCACTGTTTAATTAGGTTCAGGATGTGAATAAACTTTGTCTCCTCTGCAGTTAAAACAGGTTTATTCACCAGGCTAGAGAGACATAGCTAGTGTGTCAGACGTACCTCCAGCACAGTCAGGCAGTACATCATGACGTACTCGTTCTGGGTCTGGGACATGAAGTAGAAGCAGTGTCGCCACGCTCCAGACTGCTGCCCAAAGGCACCCAGCTGCTGCTCTGGAACAGCAGAATACGGAGAAACAGGTTTAACATATGGCAGGACTGCTGTCCTGTATAAAAAGGTCTACCAGTGGATCTGATGACTTACTTCTTCATCTGATTGAAGGACACTGCAACCAGCACTTAAATTGTAGTAGCATTTGCAGGTTGTCTATCTCTGTCGGTATAGCTATAGTATAAATTACACACCATGTGACACACACATGGAAATGTCTAAAACTTACCAATTTCCCTTTTTCTTTCATTGGAGGTACAACCATTGAAGAATTCATTCATTAGGCCCTCCAGGGCCCGAAGAGATGCTTCGTCTGATGCCTGTAAGGTACATTTAAGCAACAGCTTTAGATTACTCCACTCTAATACAATGTAGTACTCTACTCTACTTTACTCTATTCTACGTCATCACAAAATCATAAAAATGTTACAAGTTGCAAACTAGTACTTTACATATAGAGGTGCATCATATAACTTGGAAATGTAAAACCCAGGGCAATATCTCTTGTCATTTGTTCGGTTCCTTGTCCATGAGTAATCAACAGGGAATAATGGCGTGAATGCCATGAGGAAAGATTTATTTGTTCAACACCAAAACATGTGGGTGATCTTTCCACGCCCTCGAGGGCCTCCCCACTCGTCTTTTCACCACAGCAGTCTAGCAAACTTACCATGTTCTCAGGCACCGCGTCTGCCGGAGGGCAATGAAACCAGGTATTTAGTCTTCAGATTACAAACACCCTTCCTTCCGGGAGCCTCAGATTTTGAACTTCACGACGAAAACCTGCTGGATTCAACTTTCAATGGTCCTTCTGTCACTTCCTCGGGCATTTTTTGATCCAGCTAATAGCATCATAACGTAAACAGAAGTCATCCTTGGTAGATTTGCAGTAAAACCTGGCCCTAGTTGCGAGTTAATTGGATATATTATTACTAAAATATTTATTGTGATTTTAAAAAGATATAAAAAGGTAACCAAATTGAATCGTCTCCAAATATTACAGTGATTGTCATGCTGTTGCCATCTCTAATTCTCGGACTTGGGGTCAAAGGTTGATGATTTAGGGGGACAATTCATTATATAGTAACAACGTGCTGTGATACAATAAAAGTTTTCAGACAGATTCCTCGACGATCAAATTGTCGGTCTGTATTCATCCCTTGGTCGTCTAGTTTTTTTTTTTACATACATTCAGGGAAAACTTTAAGAGAGCAGATCAAGAAGATGTAATCTCATATATATTGTACTGTCCCTTATCCAAGATGGCGTCCGCGGCTGGAGGGGCGGTCGTTGGAGTTGCGGCGAAACAAGTGAAGCCTGTGCTCTCACAAAGCCTACCAGAGGCCAGACGAAGAGTCAGAAACCTATACAGGGCCTGGTACAGAGAAATACCTCATACAGGTAGGTGTGCTGGTGTAGGAAAGTGAAGAAATACCTTCTTAGGTTGTGCCGGTTTTGAGGTCATCTTCACCTTGAGTCAACTACTACTAAGGATTTGGTTTGGATTTGCTCGTAGAAAACTTGTCAAGCCTACTGCTGATATGATTTTAGGAAGACATTCTGTAAGTTTTGTTGTTGAATCTTTGATTTCAGCGTCTCCTACGTGTACCAGCTACATGGATTTTAATGTTCAAAGTTGATTTTAACCTCATTGGTTCAAACAAGCTCCTTGGTTCAAACAACTTGTTGTAGTTCTGCATGCAAATTAAATGATTCAGTATGAACTTTATGAAGCCAATATACATGAGTATTTGCACATTAATATGAACGTTCATCTATTTGAATTTGTGGCACGAAAGTTAGTCGTGTAGAAAGAAGGAAATAGAGTTTCTTTTCTGTTTGCAACATGTGCCTGACTGATGTACACTTATTCTGTTAACCTGCAGTCCATGCCTACCAATTGGACATCTCTGTAAAGGCAGGCAGGGAGAAAGTGCGGGAACTTTTCATGCAGAATGCCCATGTCAAGGACCCCAGGGTCATTGACCTACTGGTCGTAAAGGTATGTCTTTAACTTTAAGCTTTACGGTAGCAGAACGCAGCATCTTGTCTACATGGAGAGTTACTACTTTACCTCAATGTGAGAAAAACAAGCAACTCGAAACAAGGAATACATTTGAAATCTAAATCCAGGCTAAAAATGATTTTTAAAAAATCAATAGAAATTGCTGGATCATTTGCAGTTGAGGCCCTCTTTTATTTGGCATCAAAAAAACTATTTACTTTCTATTATAAATTTGTTGTTTTGTTTTATTTTCAGGGTCGACAGGACCTGGAGGAGACCATCCAGATCTGGAAGCAGCGAACACACATCATGCGCTACTTCCAGGAGACAGAAAAGAAGCGCCCCTCAGATTTCTTGACGAGGTTTTACCAAGGCTATGACTAGCTGCTCAACAGAGATTCAGTGTTATCTTGGAGAGCTATAAATCTATCTGAAGAAAAAGTAGAAAACTGAAGACCAAATGTGTCATTTCCATTGAGCACATCCATAGATATACCTGCTAGAGGACTGAATACTATCTTCCCTCTGTTCTTCACAATCAATCTGTAGCTCATTACAGTATGAAGTTAACTTAAAACTGTTTTTGTTGAATGTTCAAAGTCTACATGTACATCAAAGATGAAAAGTATTAAACATTTGAAACTGTGTCTTGTGATAATTTCCTGTTGGCTTGATGTTCATAGTGATAAAGAATCCTGATCTCTTGATAAGTCTTGTTGGTAGTTCAGTGAATGGTTCTCTTGATTAGAAGAGAATGATCACAGTATCTAGCTCTGTGAGGAGGCCAAATCAGCCTGACAAAAAGAAACTGTGCAACACAGGCTATGAAACAGGCTTGCTTGTTTAAATGCAAAATCTGGTTGTCTCAGTCAAAGATACTGAAATATGAATACATTATTTTTCAAAAAGAGCATAACTCGCAGGAGCACAGTTGTGATAGTTGTTCCCATATCTACACATCTCTATAAAAATAAACGACATTTGTTTCATTTAGATTTATCTAGAATGTCATTTTATTTCACATATTCTGTACACCTCCAACTTGTAGAACATTTAGTAGAATCCACTATAAACCCATGGTGTTATAATACCCAGTAAGATGTTTTTGCATCATAGCATTTCTCTGTGATATTGTTATGAATACACCCACCACAAAAAACAACCAGTTGTACATGTATGTAAAGATACCAGATACTGGTACATAGGAACATACTTTTTTCATCCTCAATAATGATTTCTGTTTAAATTTTAAATTGTACCTTCCCAATTTTTCAGCCACACCTATAAAGAATGGTGAGTTACTGTTCTTTTAGGTGGTCTCTAATGGTAGATTAAAAAATTAAACTTTTATCATATTACCCACCAACTTACAAACTTTCAGCATAATGTACCTTTTGCATTTTCATTTCAAATCTAATAGAATTCAGGAGCCTTCAATATGAGGACTTGCTGCATGTATCATTTTATCCATTGAAATCAGCAGTCTGACTATGACCTTAACCTATGGGGACCACAGATGTCACTAAACTCTGCATGGAGTCAAGCGATGCAGGAAACAAGCGGCTTCCATGCTACGTAGTGATCATCCATTCTACGCAAAAGTCACTTGCTACAAACAGTAACAAACTTGATACTTAACACTATTCCAGTTAGAATTAAAAATCTCATTAAAAAATACTCTGCCTAAAAACCAAATGAAGTGTAGAGTTGGTTTGAAAAGTGGTGCAGCATTGTGTTGTTAAGATGACTGTGAAATAAATAAGCACCAGTGGTGCCTATTTATTTCATATACTAGTAGTTATATACACATGTATAATTAATTCATTACATTGTTTTCTTCAGGTTAGGTGGAAGTAATGCAATCTAACATCACTAGTTTGTTACAGTTTTTTTACTAGACATTTAAGTAATTCCTGATTCATATTGCATAGTACACTGTATGTCTGAGAACACTTAAGTCAAACAATATGCACAACCATTCTACCAATTCTGGAGAGGTAAGTTCCACTTAAAACTGAAAGCAGCCTGGGATGTCTTACAAAACAGTAATGCTTAACAATTCATCTGCCAAATAAATCTACTTAAAAAAAAAACTGTTTCCTATTACTTTAACAAAAAGTCTGGCTTTGGAGTGCATTTGGAAACTGCTACAAGAGCTTTGAAAAAAATACTCAAAGCTCTCATCATAGCAGGACAGTAAAACCTGAAAGCAAACTCAATGCAGTTTTTATGTGTCAAGTAGTTGTTGACTGCTTCAAAATAGACAGCAACAACAGTCTTAAAGCTGAGCAATTAAGTCTAATACCACGAGGTGATATGTTATGAACCGCTCTCTGTCATTTGAAGGTACATTGTACTATGTCATAAATTACCTCTACTGCAATTTCAGATGAAGCATTTGAGAACCACCGTTAGATGAAGCAATTGGAAAGCCACAAGTTAAAGTGGTAACGTAGCCTCAAATAAATTCAACACCCTCATACTTAAAATCCCCTTCTATCCTCTGATCGGTGAGCAGATATTTCCCATCAAGCCTGAAGACTGAGATGAATGTTGCTATTGCACCCCTGTCCTCCTCTGTCTTCAGTGCAACCACGACTTGGTCCTGTGTTCCTGGAATGAATTTGAAGGATGAGAAGCCCCTGATGGGGTTCAGCTTCCCTATAGTTTGGACCTTGATGTCCCTAAAGTCTTCGGTACAGGAGATGATGAGGTTGGTGGCCCTGTGTTCGTCGTCCGCCTCGTTATAGCTGAACTGGCTGGCCCGGCGGGGCAGGAAGAACCAGCGCTGGTGGATGTCACTCCACACGCCGGATTCATGGATCATGTAGCCTGAACAGTACACGGGAGAAACGAAATTGGACTTTGAGAATTTGAGTGGAGCAGAAATGTTCACTTTCTTGGTATCACTGGTATCGTTGCATATCTGAGATGACAAGAATTTAGCCTGGTATCCAGACTTGTTTATCTTGTGTCCACTCCAATACCCACTTTCCTGCCAAGTAAAGTAAAGCAGACAGAAGATAAACAGAACTAGAATTCAGGAGGAGGAAAACACCCTTAAGTTATTTCTGGCATTCTGCAGTATCTATATATGTATGTCATCTAACTCGACTTTTTCTCAAGTGAAAATTGGAGGTTTTTTTCTTATGGATACAAAACTTCACTGTAGGTTCCCATGTAAAATATGACCATGACCAATACTAACCTGGGTAGCTAAACCCTGCTGCCTCTCTCATGGCGTTGTAGTTCCCCACCCAGTCATGGTGAGCCACATCACCATGGAAACCTATTGTTTTCACCCACTGAGGATTAGTATTCTGTACAACACCTGGAAAGAAACCAAACAATACAGTAAGTTTGGTTGTGCCTATTGCATGTACATGTATATAAGAAGTGTCTGTATCTGAATCATGTTAACCATCACAGGGTGTGACATGAACATGTATTCTGATTTATATTTTTTGTCTTGGCTTGATGATTAACTATTTAACAGATCTCTGACATAGCTAGCAACAGGGGAAAATAGAGGAAGCTGACTCAGTGACTGATGATATTAATAAATAATGAGCTATCTAGGAGGAAGGATGGTGATGATGATAACGATGTTTGTCCATCATTCTTGATGAAGACCCTGGCGTCAATTGCCCTTGGAATGAGGTTATCAACAGCATTGTTTTGTTCTTCCAGAGGATTAGATACACTTACCTGTAGTAGTGGTCCACTCCTTTCCCAGTCCTCCCACATACATCGTCTCATCTTTCACTGCAATCCACTCTCCTTTAAAACCTGAAGGAATAGTTAACAAGTCAGTGGCTTGGAGTTCAAGATTTTAAAGAAAAATTTCTATAGCAATCTGGAAGTACATTGTATAAGAATCGACATTAAACCAACAATAGTGGTAACATTGCTAATGTAATGGCCATACTTTATGATGTCTTGTCTTTCTTTTGGACCTTGCCTACAACGATCGTTGTGTCTCACCTTTATTTGTGGATCGGCCATTCCCGTCCCCCAGGATGACCCACGGCACAGCCACAGTCTTGTCCCCTGTCTGTACTATCTCATACACCACCCCTGTCCTGTCGTCCACACTGTACAGCCGCCCGTTAAAAACACACAGTTCAGACAGCTCCATGGACCGCCCGCCCTGGGCGAGCGTGGAGGTCATGACAGTGGGCTGGGAGTCATCCCAGGTCACCTCCACACGGTCTCCCTTCATGACGAGAACGCCTTTCTTGTAGAAACTCTTCCACGTCTTCTCGTCGTTCTTGGAGGCGTGGTCGAGATCGGTGATGAGGCCGATTCGGTAGTGAGTCCCCCTATCGGAGAACCATGGGGACGTCATGGGGTAGGTGCCGTTGTAGGCCGTATGCTGGCCGAACCGGTCCGTAGGGTAGGTAGTAGTCTTACAGCTGGGGTAGAACAGCATAGTTACGGCGACGAAGGCGGCCACCGCAAGGATAACTTTCATCCGGAATCGCAAGCGGATACCGTTGGCCTCCACCGGCCGTATCGGGGATGTCACCGTCTTGATGCTTATCATTTTGTCCTGTAAAAACGTTGAAGGCAACATTTTATACTCTGCAAGATTTCCATCCTAGATTCGTCACCAAAGTAGCAGTACCTGGGGCAGAACCGTCAGAATACGACAAATATCTTCAAGAAAAAAATTTCTCGGTGTCTTGACGGCCATCTTTGATTGCGTGTCATGTCGAGGGGTCGTTGGGTTATACCAATATTCCTAGGGGTGGTGCCGAAACAGGTGGTTTGTGTATTTTGGGATAAAAGGGCTCTTCAAGTTCAAAGTTCAAACCAAACCAAGACTGTCAATCATGGACAAGTATAGTTTTGATTCAGACGGAATCAACCTCTAGTCGCTCTACAAAATGGTGTAAGATATAAATTGTGAATTGTTTAAAAAGCTATGTGTGTGTGTGTATTTTATATTACATGTAACGTTAACGTTATCAACAAGCCACATACATTCTGATCCGAGTATTAACCATAAGTTAACTATTGAGTAATGTTTCCGAGTCAGCATCATACAGTGAGCCAATGGTTCATAGACTGATTAGAACATGCGGGGCCCATCTGTAAAACGTCCTTGACATTCAGCGGAGCCTGAGAAAACTAGGGCCAACTAGTAGAGGCCCCTCAAGTCGGTAGAAGTGCCACCTGGTATACCAAGGAATTAAACCTAGCGTTACATGGGTACGGTTACGAAAAGGAAATGTAACATTCACCCCTGCAGCCTTACATACCTCTGGGGATCGTTCTTCCATTGTAGCACTAGATCTTGTCTGGTAACTTCCACTGGCCGGCTTTTTCTCAGAGGCCTCGCCATTAACTAGACTTTCGCCATAGGCTGCGGTGTCTTCCCAAGTGGTGTCGGTGGCCCGGTGCTTTTCCTACAAATACACCAATGTTGCAGGTGTCACCCGGAAGTACATACAATATGTACAACTCTGTAACAACCTAAGTAAAGCGTTACATGTAAGAAAAAGGTAAAACTGACTGCCAAGCTTGACCCAACACCCGATGGACAAGCGAAGTATTTATCTATTCAAATTGTCTATCAAAAAGTGGATGAGTTGGTTCCGGAAGAGTCCATTTCATAGAATGAGGGGGTGGGTTGTAGAGACGAGTGTCATATTATTTCACACTTGATCGAGCCCTCTTTATGTTATACGGACTGTGACTGTTATATTAACTGTTTCGTACGTTGCTACGAAAAGACACAAATGTTATGGTACAAACTTACTATCTTCATTAAGAAGGTTATGTTTTCCATAGCGTTTGTATATATATGTGTTTTTGTGTATCACGATGTGCATGTAAGTATGTGGTTTAGTACGATAACTTAAGAAACTTTGGATGGATTGTCACGAAACTTGGTAGGTGGGCAGGTATTGATGACATCTAAAAATGATGAGATTTTGCGCCCCCTGGCGGCTTTCTTAGGTACTACAGCAGAACTTCCGAATTTTGTTACCTCATGATCTAGACACGCAAGGGTCACAAATTTTGGAAGTAAGATTCAGAAGACTGCCTGTTCGATTTAACCAAAGGTTTTTATCTTGCATTCATTATTTGTGGTCGTGTCACTGACCGTTCGGTCGGCCTGTCATCAGATGACCTAGCTCTGAGACGACCCGGGGCCAGCCGGGTTTTCAGTACCACAGTACATGTACCGCATTTACATGGTCACCACTCATGTCATCAGGCCCTCTATGTTAACATATACATGTATATACATGTGTCTGCTGGTCATCATACGACCAATGCCTTTGCGTTTAGAATACTTTACAACTGTGTTGAAGTTGTCATCTTGGCAACGGAAACACCACATGGCATGGAATAACAGTGTGGCAATAGAAAAATTGTGATCGAATATCTACTTGCATTGTTTATGTTCCATTCCTTCATGTCATCAGTTGAGTGGGACATTGTGCATGTGACGTGTGCTCTAAATTTAGAACGAACGCGCGAAACGTCCACAAATTAAACTTGTTTATCCGTCAGTCATGTCAGTTACTTGAGTAAAACATGAAAACCGACTGACCTGCGTCGGGTTGAGCGCTTTCCGACGCATTCTGCAGTCTTCTGCCATTTGTTTTTAATTTAATAGGCACAATAATGTAACGGAGAACTCCTTCAGGTTTTGTAGATACATATATGAAGATCATATAACGATGTGCGCCAGTCAGGCCGCTCTACTTTTAGCCTGGAATCCGTCGTATATTTGTCCTATAGATCTAGGGGGCTCCATCCAGGCAAGGCGAAATGTATCGGAGCAACGAGATGTGGACCCGGTCCACGGAAATATGTAGATAGGGATGGATACAGGGCTACTTATGGTGCTAACTGACTGACCTGTGTGGAACTGGACACTTTCCGACGCATCCTATCGCCTGTCAGATACAGTATAGAAGGGAACGCAGCCCTGTAGTTATCACGATGTGCCCTAGAGCCGGGCCTCTCTCATACTGTGCTGAATATATAACAACTGCCTGAAGTAATTCGCACGGAGATTAGACCAGTCGCACGGAGATTAGACCAGTCGAGTATACAGTAATTGATTCACCGGGCTTACTCAGCAAAATTACCGTTCCCACTACCGACTACGTGATACTAGTACTACTGAATGACACCTGTTCAAGAGACAAGCACTATGGACGTGTTATATCATTCCAAACTGGTCATGAATGACTCGATGGAATATGTTCAGTGGTCGAACGTAGAATTCCGGCAAAGAGTTATCTCTAAACAGATGTTAGTCTCGCTTGAAAACAATGTGTACCTCGCATCTGCTTGAATGGAGATCAGCTCAAGAGCTGTGTTGTACGTGCATGTACATACTGCGTCTTCATTACTGAGTTACAGAAACTCCGGAACGTGAAGGGTTGAATGCTCCATGAACTTATCCCGAGTGACCAGGAGTCCGTTCAAAAACATGATTGCAATACTAAGATGACACAACGTAGTCATCAACAGGCACGGGTCTTAAGGCATAATTAGTCACATGTACGCTTAGTAGTTAATCCGTAGCATCAAATCCCAGCAGTGTAGACCGGTCGAACCCGTTCGCACTGGCAGGCCTGTCAGACCTTTAATTTTTAAGGCTTTAAGTCTACAGAACGAGGAGTGTCACCACGCCGGGTATGCAAGAAATGTCAAACAGGGATAAGATAGATCATCAGACATATTCACAACAGTTGCACTATCTGTCCCTGAAGATTCAGGAAGACATTGGCCTAGTTGATTATACTAAGTAGGTCAAAAGTTCAGTAACCGCCTTAATTATACACAAGGTATGCTGCAGAGGTATGCTGTCAGATTTAGGCCACGCCTACCTTTCGATGACGAGTCGAATGAAATTTGAGTTAAATTTGAGTCAAACCTGACTATCAATCACCCCCGATCACTGCTGACCTACTTCCAACCACCCCAACCATGGCCCAACCTCCCGTCCACTCACGAATGTTTTGAAACATTCGGCTGGCGCCGCAGCCGAACAGTATAACGTTCAATAGCTACTATAAACCTCGCCGAAAACCAACAAACCGCAGCCGACCCCGACCCCGAGTTCGTCAGTGTTCTGGAGGCCATATTCGGCCACATATATGTGTGACAGGGGCTTTAACGAAGCACTGCCGTACTGAAAAATGAGACCATATAAAGCCCGACTGACCTGTATCTGACTGCTTACTTTCCGACGCATTCTACCTGTTCTCCAAGCACGGTCTGGTGGCACTGAGCAACCGGCCGCCCACGGCCCACAGAAGGGGTGACCCCACAAAACAAACAGTGTACGCTGAGAGGTGACCCCAACAGTCACCCGAGTACTAGGTATGAATGGTTGTTAGGTACGCCGTACAAGTCATTGCAAAATAGATGACTAGAGTGCTAGATTTTTCAACCATAAGTAAATACCGTGCAGTCGCCCCGATGGCAACTCAATACTATCTAGCTACATGTAGTAGTTTCATGGCACGTAACACGTTTTTACTTGAACATGGGTTGTTTTCACCAAACCTCATTGTTTTCGCCATCCACATATTGTGAATTCGTGTCTTCCTCTTCCCTGACTCGTCACAGTTGCGTAACCCGACAGTCAAGACTTCTGATGCTTGCTACCAATAATTAACACATCGTACGACCCACGTAAGTGCATGGTAAAGATCTGCTGTCACACGATGGTCCAAGGTCCATATAATAAAGGTCTATATAAACGGTTAGCGAGACAAATTAACAGCAGCAAATTTAGAGTGGTCTCCAAGCAGATCTTTCGGTAACCAAGATAGTATCCACTTATAAACTATGCAACGAATACTGCCCATTGAATACTGTCTTGGCTACTGAAAGGTCTTCTAAGAAGAGACAACCGGGTCCGGAAGTGTGAACAGATATTTCGTACACAGTTATAACCGAACGTTTGTCTATTGTCTATGGTTACAACTAGGTGAAGAGGATATCATCTTATTGTCTACTGTACTATATATAATTTCTATTAAAAAAGTAGACAAAAAGAAAATGCACAAGAGACATTGTATATTGGTGTGATATTATTTGTATACGTTACCATGTCGGCAAATATGTGGTGGAGACAAGGAGCTCTGTAACACGTCAATTAACTTAAGCGTGGTCGAACCTCATGATTCTACCGTCAAGCAGGATCCCCCCATCCACGACCCCTTCGCTTTTTGCGCGACAACGTTGCCTTGCCCGATCAGCTGCAGTACTGTTATCAATCGCTATCAGTAGTCGTGCGCTGTCGTCGCGCGTAGAAAATAATTTGATCATTGGAGCGGAAAGTGCATGCATTATTTTTCTGACCAATGACACGCTAGAATTCTCTTCCAAAAATCAAGAACGTCCTTGCAAAAATTCATTTTTTGCAGTGTTGAACTTTTCATAGGGATGACTCTCGCTTAGCCTATATTTTTCGTGTATTTTGTTTATTCTAGTACAAGAGTGGCCACCTTGCCCTAGAATGGTGGCAAAATATGTGAATACATATGCTCGAGATCTGAGAGCAAAGATTTTTTTCTAAAACTAGTAGGCTCTGAGTAGTTGTAATCAAGTCAAGAGATCAAGGTTTGAAAATGCCAGATACAACCTGAACTAATGTTACACATTGTACACTCTGCAAGCATCTATCTTGTCAATAGTTGATACCAAATGAAGTTTGAAAAGGTGTTGTAGTTTTCATTTCCCATTTAATTAACAACTGCACGAGACGTATAGAATGTTAGTTATAAATTAATTGATATTCATACCAACCATATTGTTTCATATCATAGCTGCCGAAGTAACACGTTGCACTGAGATCCCAGTTTCTCAGTATTAGAAAAGAATGGTCTATTACAGTATTGGTCTATTACTGTATTTTCAGTTATTCGTTTCATGGGAATTCGAAGTTCATTCAAGGACATTATACGTATACCTTGGTTCAATCCATCTAAGCCTGGAGTCCAGGCTTCTTTAATCGGTGCCACAGTCGCGCAGTGTCTCAATGGCTAGACAGCGACGCTCAGCGACTGTCGAGAAAACAGTAGGTTGCAGAGTAGCAGCATTTCGGCGCGAAACTCCCTCCCGGTGCCAAACTTCCTCCACGGCATATCTCGCGTCGCTTCCCGAAAAAAAATGTACAACAGCAGCCGCACAAGTCTAGATCTGTGAAGGAGGCTACGTTCAACCTCGGGTACGAAGAAATCTGTCAATACTAAAGTTTAGTGTTATAACGTGCTTCACCCATGATTAGCCCATGTTGTTGTGCAGAGCGGACCGGCTACGATTTCAACGCTTCACGGTACTATAAGGCATGTAGACCGTCCTTTTCCCGACCAACAGAACATGATTTGGTCACATAAAGACTTGAAAAGCTCACTCTTCCTTTTTTTTATTGGAGCGCTTACCAATCAAAAATAGTAATGGTAAGTAATGGCATTACTGTACGTGACCCTTGGATAAGTGGACACAAAACGATAAGTGAACGACTCTACCTGGTTTTGATGTCATACGCCGTTCAGCGTATCATCTCTACCAGGTAAGTGTGTTGGGTGTTTGCATGGCACGCACATTCCAGAGAACATGCGGAATTAAACGCGCAATGCACTCTAATGCACATAGTAGAACTGGTGACTCAATCCTATTTCATGGCATGGAACCAACTTCTTTCTTCCTAACCGCGTGCTCGTGATCACTCGTGGGTTCCGTGTTATGACAAACTTCAAACGTGCGGTGTCAAGTTTCTTCATCCGCGCATTCCCCAGTCGGGCAGGGCTCCTTGAACTGGGTCAGACCTGACGCGAGTACCTGGGCTCACCTTACGTACTGCCTTATTTGGAAGTGTCAACAAAGGCCACAATTGTACGGTCCCCTGTGTTAAACACGTACACCGCCTCACGGTGGAGACTCACTGTGCGTGTTTGTGATGTACTTTAATAATGTGGGGCTCCTCTGTGACCTCCATTACCTAATCACTACCACACACCGTTATAATAATTATACGTAGAGCTAATTTCAGCAGATGTGAATTGCACAGGGTTTACGGGTGGACCGAGGGATCAGAGTAATGGCTTTACAATCCCTGGTGGGAATTTCAATTATTGTAATCATTTGCGAGTTTCTCTTCTCGATTCCCCCCAGGGACTTTTCTGGAAGTATATAATTTCGGAACACGGCCGAGGGACGGCAGATCACCTGGCTGACTGTGATTGCTGCATGGTCATGCGAGAAATCCATGAAATTTCTTCTTCTATTTGTAACGCTAGATTTTCCTATGGATGAATTCTTGGTGGTGGAAAAAGACTGGTAACGTTAGAGTCTGGGTGAGAAAAGTGCATGGCCACAATCTGATCCACCTGCAGTATAGAACTTTAAACAGCCGCCATCCATCTATCCAGCATCCTGTAGTGTTCAGTCTGGTAGAGGTCTATAGAGGCTGAGCAAACAAAGCAGGTGATTTTCTCAAATTTCTTCCTTACACCTTTTGTTACCGAGAGGGAATATCTTGGAGACGTTGAAAGTGGACCGTCCCTTTGAGTATGGAGTATCAAGAAGTTTCCTTGCGCTTTGGGCAGACTGTGAGGACTACTTTGAGACATCCTCCTCCGCGCGGATGGATCTCCGCGCGCCCACGACGTCCTGAGTCACATCCGGGCACTGCGCCCATGACGTCAGGCTGCCTGATCCGCCATTGTGTCGGTGGTGGGTCCGAAGCTCGGAGAGGGAACGACGGTTCACATTTGGCCATGTCTCGCCCGGGAGGACCGAGGAACGGGGCGATGAAAATACGTCTGACAGGTAGGGTGGTTTCTTGTCTATTTATCTACCGAAAATGACGGTCGTAAACGGTGTTTCTGGGAAGATACGGGCAGTTTTCTGTGGGTGGCCTCGTTGGAAATATTGACTCGACCGCCGAGCAATCTGTTGTGCATATTTATGTGGTGTGTAGTCCAGGACTGGAGGGGCTCAAGGATCCTGCATTTCTGTGGTCGTCCCGACATGACTCCTGTCTTGTGTTCCAAAGATGAGAAAGGGAGTGTCCACCGTTGACTGTACCGTGTCTACAACGGTCAGGAATGTGTGGGAAAATGAATTCCTTAGGTTTGCTTGGGGGTCAAAGGTTTTCAGCATTTTAACCTGCAAATGAAAACAAAGCAGCTGTTGGGGGGGGGGTGCTTAAGTACAGGAATATTATTGATTATTTCGTTGGAATCATAGTTTCAATTGACACATCTTACCTACCCAAATCAACATTACAACTTGACAATGTGGCGTTATCAAAACTCAATTAGGAACTCATTAACATCATAAATTCAAGTCTTCAATGTTTGACATCGTGACATCTTAGGTATGCAACCTTGACATAACCTGTCAGCCAGACAATATGTAACCTGCGTTAGATACATAGACTTGACTTCCATGCAAGAACGAAGAATTCTGACTCAGAACTCAACTACAAGTCAAAATGATCGGAAGTGACAGATCACCATGTGTCAGATGTGTTCGTCATACGGACTCGGAGTTAACATCATGATAGTACAGCAGACCCTGCTTGGTAGTAGTATGGCAAGAACAAAAATACCCGTAGTCAAGTGCTTTGAAATATCTTTAATTCCATGATATCCTACGATCTCATTTCAAGCATTCAAAGTGTAAGGCATATTTAGCAACTTGTGAAGATTGTACATGTCATGACATCTTTTATATGCCAAACTTGAATGCTTCCAGTCCAAACGTTCAATATAAAAGGCTCAGACTTCTTCATAAAAAGCTCTATGAAAGTCTGGGTTCTTCCATGGTGGAATGAAAACAAACTGCTAATGCTGGCTGGGACACGAGCCATGTTTACTTACAAGATTCCTTGCTCTTTTTTTACACGGATGTTGCAAACAGGACCTTTTTGGAAGGTGGTGTGTGTTGTGTGTGCATGTAGTTTCTTGTGTTTTTTCAGTGTCTGCTGTGAGTGTGGTCTCTCTCTGCTTGTCTGGACGTTTTACAAGCTCCCCTCAGACCTGGTTGACTCACCACATGTTTCATCCACAGTTGTAATTACAACTAAAGCCACCCCTACTGGGTGATCAGAGGCAGGGAACCAACATAATTGGTGTAATTGAGAGAAGGAGTGCTGTAACCAGAAATTGTCCTGGAAAATGTGGGCTTCTGTAAGTGTATTGAGTCACTTATCGTGGTTGGAAAGTGTATTCAAAAACAATAAATCGTGACAGTATTGACAAATGATGGAGCAACAGAACTGAGCTATCAGTGTAAGAGCAAGGACAAGTGTAGATAGTATGGTATGCATGTTGCTTATGAACTTTAGCATACATTGTACATTTGTATATGTGCCATGTTTATTCAGGAATGTTACAAAGTTCTGGTTGTACCAGCTTACATTCAGTGATGGAAGTAAAGTAATGGTGTCTGTTAAGACAGATGATCCCTTTAATCCATTCTAGGCTAGCAGGAGATTAGGGAATGCATGTCAGGATGCTTAGACCTTAGTACGTTCAACAATGCACATTGTACCCAGAGGTCACGAGGGTTGGATTTGCGGTGAGCAAGTTTGAAGACATCCGAATCTGCATGGCATTTTGAGTTGGTACAGGTATGATAAGGCATGTTTGCTGTTGGTTTTAGTAATGTTTCATTTAGCTCAAGAACATGTCCACAGTTGACTTGTAAGTTAGGGATACACTGTGCAGTCAATGGTATTAGATTATTTGATAGAATCATTTAATTTTACAGTAGAATTAGGTAAGGAAAATTACTGGCATTTCAGATCACCGAAAAATTTATTGACTTGTAGTAAGTTGTACCATATTATTAGGCTTACAGGAGAGCCCCTGTTTCCTGCTCTGTCATTGTTTATTAACATGAAGTAATTGCTGTATAGAATGTTGGGGTCATTAGGGTCAAACATGCCATGAAAAATTAATGTGGGGTGTGTGCAATGTTGATCCAAACAATAGTTAACTAACAACTATATATTAATACAATGTACATTGGGATACACCTACAGGAAAGCAATTTGATATCAACTTGGTAAACCCCAGAGAGTGACCCGTCAATTTGTAGGGTGCTATAACATCACAATAATACATGTATTTGGGGTTAGGTCATTTAAAAAATCACAATATCAATACAAGGTTTGTAAGTCCGGATTCCAATACCTCTCTGGTCTTGGTTGCCATATTACGGAAATGATCTCTGGTTGGTGACAGTTCTGTGTGTAGGTGTCCTTGTGTGTTGTCCAGTACCATTTTCTCAGACAGGGAGAGGCCGCCTCAAGTGGTAGTCAAACAGTTTAGCTGTGGTATGGTCAAAACAAGTACTCTGAGTTTGTAGTAAACACTTGGCTACTTCAAGTTCTTGTTGTATTAGTTGGACATACATGTATGCCAGTTGCTTTGGTCAGTTTTGAAAGCCTGCACAAAGCTCCAAACTCCTGTATGGGGAACATTCAGCAAACTCGAGCCACTCAAATGATTTTCACGAGCATAGAAGTGACGGTGAAATTGAGGTTGGTCAGTTCAGCAATTTTGCTGTAATTCATCATATTTACCGGTACCTAGTTTTTTATTTATTTATTTATTGAAAATGCAACAAGACATTACACTGACTCTCAAGGCAGCAAAGCTGATGTTAGAGAGTCAACACATAGGGACAAAACATGTAGGGCACATAATATCAACAGTGTGAAATTACAAAAAAAAATGATCATAAGAACCTATATCATTCCAATTAGCCGAGTAAATATATGTACACATCTAAAATAACACCTAGTTTTTTGATCTTGGATACATTCCAACGTGACTGGTTGTTGCCCTGGGTATTTGGCAGTGCTGCAACAATATGGCCATTATGCGAAAATGTTATCTTGTCTCTTCTCTTGCCTTATCAGTGTTTGCATCTTCTAGAATATCCTTTGATTTGGGTTCATTCCTGTGTGTAAACAAGGTATATCTCATGACACGTTAGTTGGTAAATCTAGGTCCTTGCTAAGTAATTCTGCATGGAATGCCTGAATGAATCCCACAGTTTAGCATTAATATTCATCTAAAAAGTGCTCCTTCTATGTCTGAACCCTTGAAAGTGTACATGTAAAAGGCCAGGCAGTAATTGTTCACCCGCCTTCCCTCAGGACGGTTAGGTTGACCAAGGATATCTAACCTCGTAGACAAGTCTGTAGGATTTACACTGACAACCTCTCCTACATGGAACATACTCAGGACTGAAGTGCGGTCCATCTCTGTCAGACAGACTTCAGTGGTTTTGTTATCTGGTAATGGTACCCAGCAAGTCAAGTCCCCATTAGAGGGTATGCTCATACATACAGTTATCTTGCAGTGGTTGCTGGGCAAGAGCTGTACACGTTGTTGGGGCTGGCTGCAAGTAGAATATTGACAGGACGGCTGCTAATCTGCGAAGGAAGTTGGGCCTCTCCCCCTGGCTTGCACTGAAAGGATGAGATAGGCAGGGTATGGGAAATAGTCTGGACAGGTCTAGATCATGATAGCTGTGGAAAAGAATTGTATGGTAGATTGTGATTGTTTCTTTGTAGCAAACCGGCGGCTAGATAAGAAAATAGTCTGACTGTTGCCACTTCCTGCTGTTGTTGATTTTTGAAGAGCTCTCATGCGATTCTAAAATTTTGTTGTCATCTAAAAAGGATATAAAACATGGAAAACAAAAGATTAACCTTCTCCCTGCTGCCTAATCATGTAGCCAATACAAATTTAGTGCCAAAAGGCTTCGTCTACAGGGAGGTTATCAATTTTCATTCACCTTAGTTTATGAACATGGATATGTAAAATTGAGGACAATTGTGAGATGTTCAATGTTGAAATGACCATAGACACCTTTGCGATTGTGTCATACTACCTGGAATTCTATGCATGGGTGTGTAGGAGGGTCTGCAGCCTAGAAACAAGCCAGCACGAACTCAGAGCTAAGTGGGACACAGAGTGGAGAAAGAAAAGTCTGTATAACTCTGGCGTGTGAGTCATGGCATGGGAGACTAAACCTGTGTGATGAAGAGCAGGATAAATACCTGACAGCTTCTGTATACAGTGGGGAGGAAGTCTGGGAAATTAGAGTCTGGTCATGTGCCCTTGTTAGTTTGGGTGTAGGGTGCCTAGATGCCACTACAGAAGGCAGACCCTAAAGTTTGCTCTTCGGACTTCGGTTTCGCCTCAGTCAGAGATCTAGTTTCACCAAAATGTAAAGGCAGCATGAAGAAAGTTGTCAATGTTTATTTGTTAGGTTTTATTTATATTGTGTGTTCTTTTATAATGCTATTTAGCAATCTACCACTGAATAGGTGATGTCAGGAAAAATTGTTTTGTATTGTCATTGTTCATAAAAGTAAACATTATTGGATTACTGTAAGCTATAGCAGCTGAGTTATAGACTGGGTTTTGTGATGACATTTTTATATTGAAATATGAATATTAACATTAGCAGTATATATCACAATTGGCAAGAATTCTATGTTGTTAAATCTAATTTCCAATTCCTAAAGATTTATTGTGAAATGTTCCTTTAGAAACTGGCTCGCAAGTTCAGTATGAACTGTCCCTTTGCCGATAAAGTATGCTAGCCTGAAGGGTAAAAGGAAAAAGAACAGGATGAATAATGCAGGAGGTTTCTTCCAGAGTGGGACAGCATAGGAAAGGCATCTGTGTGAAATTTCCATGGAGGAAGCGTGGCCCTGCCAAGTTTTTGTGAGCCACATATTTGCTGGTTGCACCAAGTTTGGCCATGTCTGAGGCAGCTGTCTGGGTACTTGAGGAACTGAGAATTACTGTTTGTCATTTTTCTGTGACAAACTAACATCAACCAAAGAAGAGATAGACAGGACCTGTTTCTCAGAACTGGGTACAAGGAAACAGACATGTTATCCTTGGCTAAGGTGTTCTTTCAGTCTGTTATATTTATGTAGTGGAAATATAATCAGTAGTCTATAAAAATAGCTCAGTTAGATTTGTATCACGGAAGAGACAGTGCTGTTCCTGTTAGATTAGATGCCTTACTTGGTGGGGAAGTGAGGATTTTTCATATGTTGATTTGTTTGATTATGCATATATTATTACAGCAAAATCTTAAAACACCAGTTGTACATTAACCCTTGATTTGTGATGCAAGAAGCACAACAAATGTTTCGTATGGTTAACTTAGAAAGTTAAGCAGTTGCTTGTTCTGGCCACAGTACAACCTGGCCTCCCTGAAACAGCTTGTCTTGTTCAAGTTCTGTTTGCTTGAGTGTACTGTTTGTTGTTCCAGCTCAGGACGAGAATGTAAATCTGTATTAAGAGAAACAGCGAGTAAGATATGCAACATATGCCATATGGGATGGCGTATGTATCTATGATATGTTATCCAATAAAAGAAGAATAGTTACTGTAGGTGATAAAAAGTTATCGTTCTCAAGATAGACATGACATTACGCTATCTGTATGTTATATTTTACCTGAATTGTTACCACCTGTTGTGTGCGGAAGCCCTTACCTTGAAGTGCATGCCAGACATGGTTTGGAACTGTATCATTTCTCTGTTCCAAAAATAACGTAGCCGGAGTTAGTGGTACTTTGAAAATGGCGCTCCATCCTACCGGAAGTTTTCTTTTCAAAGCATGCGTATTCAAATGGCAGGAACACCCAGTCCTTCCCTCATATTTCTGAAAATAGTCTTTACTGTTGCTGGCTCTCTTTTTATTGACCTTCAAGAGCTCTCTGACGGCACTTGGAAACAGGATTTGTCTATATCAGGACGAACATTATTTATGCAGCTTAAATGTAGCAAAATAGACCACCCAGCAGGATGTAGAGAACCTTGTAGACTTGATAAGGAATGCAAAATGGTGAAGTTTATTCCAAAGTTCTACTTCGTGTTGAATCCACTCTCTTTGGGGCTATATGGACCTTCAAACCTTTGTTTATCCCCTGTGCAGACAGCCGGCCCCAGTTCTGGTGTGGTATACATGGGAACATTGCCAACATCCTGTCATGGTCACAGGACCTAGATCTTATCATCTTATAGATTTCCTTCTGTGCAAATGAAGCGCTTTAAATTTCAAATCAGAGGTGAGTTACTGTGGCAAGGTTTGGGACAAGAGTCGCAGAAGTTGAAACATAAATGCTCGTACATACTAGTTCAGCATTCAAAGAGGAAGAGACATTTTACATGCTAAGTGCTGCTACATGTAGTGTAAAGACAAAGTGAGGAGTGAGAAAATGTGTATGTATGAAGTTACTTGGCCTGGTTGAGTTTTGGTTGATGATGTGTGGTTCCAGGCTAAGCCTGATTGTGGTCTGCAGTAAGTGACCCGTGTCTGTGTTTTAACAGTTGGTGCCCCAAAACACATGTACCACCTGTGCTAGCTCTGAGTCTGAACTTGTAGTGGTGTGTCTGTAGACTCTGTACTGGGGTATATGTGGGACAGAGGGGTTTGTGACTGTTCTATAGCTTATGGTGGGAAATAAAGTCATTGTGAAACTGCCAGAGAGGTGTGTGTGCGAAACGTCGGTCACGTCTGAGTGTGTGTCACACAGGAGATGTGAAGTGTGGCCTGGAATGTGGGGGTAAATAAGAATGTTTTCAGAGGGGGAGCATGAATGGCAATGGCTCCCACCCCCACCAGAGAAAGGGTTGGCTTGATACTGGGCTTTCAACCATTCAGCATGCTTAAATTAGTTAATCTGGCTTCACCAGTTTTAGGAAACGTTTAGTCAAGGGTAAACACGACTATTCTGTTCAAAGAAGCACAACAGCCCATGTATTTGCTATTGTGAAGTGACTTTGACCTTGCTACTCCTGGAAGTCTTAGTTTGCTGAATGTCAGTTATTATCATGAATGTTTTGTTATGTTTTATATAGATGTTTGCAGTAATTTCACTGATCTTTAGTTCTCATCAGCAAGCTGGAACTGATGTTAGGAAGTCCCTCCCCTTGCTACTGCATTACTGAAAGTTGGATCACAATTTCTACAGTATCACAGACAGGAAGAAACACATGGTGCACAGAAGCCCATCCAGAATTACCCAGTAATGATCTGTTTTCTCTGTCCTCCCCCCTTCCTCTGCCAGTTCCTGCTGCATATTGATCCAAGGTGTACCTTGACCCAGGGTTGACTTCTGGAGGCTGTGGGCTGTGGTCCTGGGAGACATGCTTGGCTGGTCCCTACATGGACATGTGAATGGTTCCTATCACAGCTGCCTAGAATGCCTCATTAGGACAAGCATCTGTGGTCTAGGTGACTGACTCAAGGTCTCTCTGTGGCCAGACCTCTGCCTCCAGAGGCTTGGTGTCGGAAGATTTAGTGTTATATTTCTTGAGAAGTTCTTTTTCATAGAACAAGGAACCCACCCAATTCATCCATTCTACTACAGACTCTGTAGGAAACTTTCTAAATTGGGATTACCCTAAGATAGCAAAAATACCAGATAAGAAGATGCCCCCTGGCAATAGACAGACAGGAAATGTCTACTTAGTTGAATAAAGGAAAATAATACCTGATTCCTGCCACTCTGGTCATATATGGTATATTCTTATTTTGACCACGAGACAGTCTAGAAAGTGCACAGGTCCAGTTATGTGTGAAAAGATCATTTCAAAGCATTTGGAATCACTATATATACCACAAATGATACCTGTGCAGGTGAGTGATGGGGATGTGTATTGGGAACTGCAAACTCATCAGTAAGTACTTGATTTGTTATGGATATGAATGGGCCGTCCTGCTGAAGGAGCCTGTCTGGAGTAGCCTGGATGGGTGACGCTGTGTTTGTCTAGCTTTTGTCTCACTTGAAAATGCCCTTATTTCAAGCTGAGGACCTGTCTGGATTGCCCTTTATCTTGCTAATTTCCTACAAGACAATGGCAAGTTGACAACACCTGTATATACCATTGGTTTTCCTTCCACATCTTATGCCCATGTATGTGTATTGTTAGATTGAATTGAAAGGAACAAAGAACTTTTGTGAAGTACACTGCCTTTGTCTAGTATGTTTTAAGGATGGAAAAGGTTTTGGGATGTTTGCCATTGGATTTACCTGTCTGTCTGTGTGACTGCTGGCCAAATTCTAGAAACAATGGGGGGGGGGGTTGTCAGTCTGCCTCTTCTAACCTGTCATTCCACATGCTTCTGTTTTTTATTCAGTCAATGATAATCAACTTATTATGCTCTCTGGGATTCTAAGATTCATGTTTATGATATATATTTTTAGGTTGTGAACTCTTAATATATGCTTGGAAAAGTACTGTGGTCGTCAAACACTATTCACATTGTGTATGTTACAGCACAGTTGGCAGCTTTCTTACCAACTTAGCATTCAGGCTTGAAATTTCTGGAAAACATGGTACCAGGCCAAAGAATATCTTCTGTCCTGACTTGTTAAAGAGCCATCACGTTTTGACTTGTTACCTAGCAGGATATGTGTGTAAAACCTTGTCTCCAAAGCTTAAGGTTCCATTTCCTATTATTTCCTTTGGACTAGACTCCCGGTCTGCTACAAGGACATGACAAATGTGCCCTTTTCTTCCCGCTAGAGATAGCATGCTGTGACAGTCTCCCTACCTGTGCTGAAACCTTTGTCATTGCATTGGACAAGCCTGAGATGATGACTGTTTTCTAAATGTCTAATCATGATTGATGGAACATTAATTGAACATGTCTGAGTCTCTACTGTAATGTCAGTCCTCTGGAGACAAGCTCTACAGACTAGTGTCTGTTGTTGAATGTCGAAAACATGATATTCTCGTTGTTTTTATCGAATGATGTTGATAACGTTATCTAACCATTGTTGTTTTTCTATTCTTTTGCAGTGTTATGTGCCAGAAATGTGTCCAAGAAAGACTTCTTCAGTAAGTATGGGTATTTGTTATGCTCAACGCATCATTGATTGCATCTGTGTGATCAAAAAGTTGTGAGGAGACAGTTGTCTGACTGTCACAAAAGCCTCTTTATTGGTGTATTACAATAACAGTGTAAAACATATTCCTCACATTTCTGACAGACAATATGGAAAGTAAGAGTAAAATAGACCTCATTACCTGTAGTCACAACTAATACTAATGAATTAGCACCTGCACAGAAAGCAGCAATAGTCTAGTATTAGACACTTCCTTCCAGTGATAGCTAGAATTTAGTGAAGAGTTTTAGTTAAATTTCTTGTCATTGATAGTGTCTCTGTTAAAAGAAAGTACTATTGTGAGAAGAAAGAAATCAACACTCATCATCAATGATTGATTGATCATGAGGCTGTCATTGGACAAAACCTGTTCTAGTAGAGGGGTTGAATTACGAATTCAGACTGATATTCCCAGGCATATTAAATGGCCTGTCTATTCTTTTATATGCTGGGAATTTTTGGTTACCACTTTTTAAGAGCTTGTCACAATGGGGATGTAAATAATGTAATCTCAAAAATTTTTTCCCAAAAAAAAAAGGAGTGCACAATAGCAGATTCTTGCTGTACAATAGGATGGAAGATAGAAATTGAATAGAAAAATGAGAGGGGTAAGACTGCCCTGTCTTAGTTTTGCAAGCTTAACCCTACTTGTGGCAAGACAGATAATGAGTAGCCAGTGTAATCCTGTGAAATAACTGTAAGTCAGATAAGCTCATAGAGAAGTTGTATTTCATTAGAAATGGTCATTTTCCTGATCTCATTTAGGAAGAAAGTAGAAAATAAAACAGACCCTAGTACTCCAAATGTAGGACATACTTCTCAATTATAAGTAAGGTCTGGGGACATCACTCGCTGCTCATATACAAAATCATTTTACAAAGTAGGTATGAAAATTTGCAAATTTGATAAATCAAGACCGATATGTTATCTAAATGGTTTAGAACATACAAATAGGGATTAGATAATATAAATAAGGAATAAACCAACCAGACATTGATTTGTTACAAATTACAATCAGGGACCTCCCTAAACAATGGAGCAGTGGAGCTCCTCCACCCAGTCCTTATCTCAGCTCCACCCTGTTAATTTTCAAAACTAGTGTTTTTACACCCTTTTCCAGGGTTCTTTGGTCAAACTTACCGATATTTCGCACCCTCCTCCATTCTGTCCTAAATTTCTGGGGAGATCCCTGGTTGTATAATCATTGTCGTTCTCTCTTTTTCTTTTACAATGTAGGATCCTGTGTCATTATCCCCAAACATCAGTAATTCAGTTGGTATTCTGTAATGTCCATGTGATGTGTGTAGGTTTTAGTCCTGATTGTCCCATGTATTGTTTGCAGGATTACCAGACCCGTTTGCCAAGATCAGTGTGGATGGGTCAGGCCAGTGCCACTCCACAGACACATGTAAGAACACACTGGACCCCAAGTGGAATCAACACTATGACTTGTAAGTACTGCAGCATGGTTCCTTTATAGTGTTAAAGTTTGCATTATTTCGTATCTTGAACAATACGAGAAGGGACTGCAGTATCATATTGTCCTAAATGGAGTGGACATTAAAAAAATAGTAGGGGTATTGGACGCCATATAATACCTGTTACGCGGCCGGTAAACACCGAAAATGGGGCGATTTTAGAGCGTTCAAACGAGTATATAACAAAGTAAAAATGCTTGAAATTTGGTATCAGTAGTTGAAGGAACTCTTTATCTCTTATTTTGTCCAAGTCTTATTAAGATACCTTCAATGGTAAGCGCGAAATCGCCGATCGGGTCGCGCGAGTTTTCCCGGCGGCGCCATGTGCGCGCCCTCCCCGTGCCGAAAATTTCAAGAAGGCGCTGATCGCCGGAGCCCGCCCGCGCGTACCGTGTGCAAAATCCAGAAAAAACTAGCCACTAATTTGTAGCCAAGAATACGAGCTTTCGAAAAATGCCTTCTTTTTTTCTGTACGACGTCAGGATCGAAAGTTGTCCGCATGTGAAACTTTCAAAGTGCGATATCTCCACAACTTGCCCCCGGGGCAATTTTAAAAGGAAACCATCATATGAAAATTCAGAACATTAGCTTTAATTTGATGCAAGATTCGCATATGTGCGATCCTGCTGTACGCGCGGAATATGGGGTTACTTTCCGGACGATTTTGGCTTCAACCGGGTAAACAACAATGGCGGCCGTGGGCAGCTACGTGCCGCAAATTTGACGCCATCCGACGTCGTAGAGTTCATCACGACCGGCCAAAAACCAGGTAATGTATTTATTCAAGTATTTTGGGAGTTTTAACGTGTTTTTGTGTGCCCTTTTGTCCGTTTTTGCTTCGATATGTCACATATGAACACGAAGCACATGTCAGTGTGTTGTTAGCTGTGAATCGTCGGCAAAAATGAGGCTTCCAGCCGGATAAATCGTGACTTTTCCGCTATTCGAAGCATTATTATTTTCTTGAAGATACATTAGTTCGTTATCTTGTTCCTATATGTATATTTTTGTTGTTGTATACGTGTTTTGGGGCTCGTTTGCGTCGCGTCTGTTGTGTCGTCGTATGGGGTGGGAGGGGGGCGTGACGTTTGTGTATTGGGTCCTTACCTTAGGTCAGGATAAGATCATTTTTTTCATAACATTTCTTTTTAACAGGAAATATCTGTTTTTCTTTTTATTGCCACGCTATTACAACATTTCTTTATGCTCATATTTTTTTAATTCTTTGTGAAAACCTAAAATTTACTTACATTTAATTTTTTTTTTTTTTTATTTTTTTTTTAATTGTTTACAAACTGTTACTTAGTGTTAGTACAGGTGCCATAGGTACTTACACAGGTATTCATATATAAACACAAGTATGTATATATAAATATATAATTTAAATTAATATAGTTTCATTTTTTTTATTATTCTTTGCAGCAAACTGTGAAACAGTTCTATGCTCCACACTACTTCTGCTGGAGTGTGGGCTAGGTGACCAGGGCATGAGTGTCAACGAACATCTTCCTGGGCTTGTCCATGCCATCGACAGTGCTGTGGAGCTGCCGACGTACTGCTCGAATGTGTTGAAGAAAATTTGGAAGAAAGCTGAAGAGTGTGGACAGGAAGACCTGGACAACCTTCTTGCATCACCTGTAAGCTCAGTTTACAAACCTAAGAAAAAGGAAGACCCCAACAAGGTTGGAGAAGAGTGTGCAAAGGCTGGAATAACACGTCATGTGTTGGACAAAGGCTGGGACAACCCTCCTAAAATAGTAGTGACAAAAATGATGGTGGCAGAGATAGAAGGCTACTGCCAACCTGAGACTGACGACGATAGATGGGTGGGAAGAGATAGATAAACAGTATGTGCAATATTACAACAGGTACTTCGCCCAAACACAGCGTGCCGTCAAGTCCAAGAGGAACCTGAAAAAGAAGAAAAGGACATGAGTAAGATTAGGACCAATAGATCTCTATAGACTTTAATATTGTTAAGTTTTAAGATAAGTTTTATATAGTAGAAGATGGATAAATGTATACAAAACATCTATGTTCTGTAAGAAAATCTGTCGATGCATATATAATGAGGGAACGTCATAAAACTGTGTGTAAATTCATAATAGTACCTGTAAGATGATGAGATATGCCAATTTTGATAGCAAATTTGGATTCAGCACGTGCCAAAACCCCCTAGATGTGAAATATGTTGACATACAATGAAAGACATGGGAGAAAATGCATTCGCGCATAATTAATTAGGCCGACGGCAATAAAGTCATAAAAGCACGATATGGAGATAAGATATGCCACTTTTGATTGTAAATTCGGATTCAGTGTGTGTCCAAACCCCTTAGATGTGAATTTGGATCAGATATGTTTAAGTATAGTGGAATTATTGTGGTTTTGCATATGTAATTAGGGGGACTTAGAAATTTTTGGCATTTTGCCAAAATCAACGGTTTCCATGCGTGCTCCCGAAGGGCATATTGTTCAATATTTCAGGATTATGTATTTCTGTAAATAATGATGCAATGATTCTGGTTTTTACACATCATTTAATATGATATCAATAGAGCATTGTACAAGTGAATTGAAGTCTGTGTGATGTTTCGTTTTTATGATATTAGCATATGAAAAATGATAAAAATGGCGTATCTTACCGACTTCGTAACAACGACGACCCCAAAATGGGGACATAAATCACAAATATCTCCGCCATACAACATCCGATTTACTTCAAACAAAAACCATTTTGTTCAGTTTAATGAGCTCTTTCTAAAAAGCTACACTGTTAATGGCTAACAACAAAACAAAATTTTTGTCCAATACCCCTAAAAATAGGTCAAGCCTCTACACACTAAAGAACCCAATACGTGCATCAGGAAAAGTACAGCTGCTAGTAATTCTCTATATTTAGGCTAAGCAGTAATGAAGATGAAGTAGTTGTGCCCTCTTGTGTTTGGCAAAATGGTTGATGCACGTGAGACAATATGCAGATGAAGTTCAATGTTGAAGGCTTTGTTAGTGGGTTAGATTCTGCTGCCATTCTCATTGACCCTGTGTCTTCCCGCTTCCTTACCTGTCGAATGTATGTCTGTCTTCAGGTTCATTGGCAAGAATGACTCCATTACGATCAGCATCTGGAACCATAAGAAGGTGCACAAGAAGCAGGGTGCAGGCTTCCTGGGCTGTGTCCGCATCATGGCTAATGCTATCGCTAGGTTAAAGGACACAGGGTGTAAGTATGGTTTTACCACTGTACGGATTCCACATGCATATGTATCCTGGAGATCAAGAAGGTTTCAACATTCACTGAAAAGCAAATTACATGGAGATATTTTGAAAAGTTTAGAAAATTGAACTATTTCTATACATGTGTATCTAAAAGACATACTTTTGTGACCGTTTTTTTTACTTTGTTGTGATGGGCTGTTTATTTTTAGGTATTACTGAGAAAATTTGATGAACCCTATACCGCATACAGAATACTTTCATGTGTTATAAAAAAAAGATTATAACATTGTGAACCTTCTGGAATGACCATCGAGAATTTAACTGCCACCCAGCTGTCACCATTTTCTGTCTATCCAGTCAAGGTCGAACTATCCATTCTTATTGTCTTTGTCAGTTGGAACCTCGGAAAATCAATAAACATGCACAGTGGTTCAGCTCAGTCTATACATGCAATGGCTGAATGCTGAATGTCCAATACATGTATTTGCACTAGAGTAAAAAGCTGCAATTGTTAAAGTTGTCATGTGAGGACAGTTCAGTGTTGTAGATTGAAGGTCCCGTGCTTGAATCCATTTGTGAATATGTCACTTTGTCACTTTAAAATACTGGAGGCCTTCATTGGCAGTGGATGGCTTGCTGTGAAAGTGGGTGATGAAAAGGTTAACTTTAGAATCATTTGGCATGCATCAACTTTTGGCACAGTTTTCAGCAGTTAGTTTGGGAAAGTTACAAATATCATGGTGAAAGTCTTTTCCAAGGCTAAAATGAAATGTGTTGTAACAAGGCATGACCAGAATGTTTTCTTTGTAAAGTTTGTTCCTTCCAACACAAGCACAGAGATGCCCTTGGTCACCTGTACCACAGGGACAGAGGTGTAAAGGTTAAGAGAAACATGGGTAAATCCCAAAGTGAGTCTTCAGATACAAGTTCCTAAGGGACAGGGGTGATATCTCGTCTCCAGTTTTGGGCTGCAGACTGGACAAATGAAATAATCCACACCCCGTGCCCCCAGTGGGGTACAATTTGAAGTTGATAATATGATGAGAAATCATGACAGATGGCTGCAAAGTGCTGATGTTGCCCCAGGCTGAATGTGACTGTTGGGGAAGCCACCTGGTGTAGGGTAACATGAGAGTCCCAGGTTACAGCAGGGAACAGACAGGTTATCAGCAATTAACACAGAAGGACTCAACATATACTAGATTATTGCATTCAGCCATTCATCAATACATGTAACTACTCAGATTCTCAGAAACATCACTGTCCGCTCTCCACAGTTTCTTAAGTACAATTTACTACAAAATGTGATGTCAGAACTTTTCTAGACTTATGAGTAGGGTTATGAATAAAGTGTTATTTTCACAACTCTGTACATCTTGGCAAATGAAGGAAAGTTATCTGAATCTGTTTGCTTTCCCCACAGATCAGAGATTAGACTTATGTAAAAAGAATCCTGACGACAACGACAATATCAGGGGCCAAGTAGTAGGTGAGTCAATCATTACTCAAGTAACATTACTGGAGGAACAACTGAAGAAACTGAACTGTAATGATGAAGTAAAATCTGTTGCATTTATGGCAGTTTTCTAGCATGTTTATGGATAAGTATCTTATTCTGTTTTATCATTAAAAAATGACTTTACATATTGACCCATATACGGATTGGACATTGCGATACTTTGGGGTCTACAATAAAGAGTAATGCCCTGTTATAATACTTGCTATACTAATGCGATGGTGTTTGTCACTTTTGTTATGCCTCCAGTCCAGGATATGCAGAAGACACAGTTTTTGATTTAGTAGAAGTGCTAAGTAAGAGAGGATGTGTGCAAGTGCTACAGCACTTCTGTCCCTCTAAGTCTTATCCGTGAAGCACATGTAGACCTGCCTGTACACTCCGGTGTGACCAGTTGTTGACCCTATGAAATGTGTTACCATCCACAGTGAGTATAATGGCCCGAGATGGCTCGGGGTTGGGGGACAGAAGTGCAGTAGTGGACCACACAGGGATGCTTTCCACTAGGTCTGTATTCAGAGTCCTAGAAACAGTAAACACATGCACAACTAGTGGTACTTTTTTCACTGCTCCAGTGAGCCTAATGTCACGAGACAGAGGGATAGGGGATAGAAGTGCGGTTGTTGACCACAGAGGCATCCCCACAGCCGTGTGTTTAGATGCCAACGAGCTTCCAGAGGGGTAAGTTGAGCTGTCATGTGGTTGCACTCATATGAAGCTGTCCAAGATGAAAGTGTCAAGTATTATTTACCCATCTGTTGTCTGAGCACTATTTTTGCTGGTTGTGCCATTGTAGAGGACTCCATATCATATGAGTGCTGTGAACTGTTTTTATGTTCTTTTCATCAGATGGCCTACAGTTTTTATTACATAAAATAGGGGCATCAAAATCTGGTTCACAGATCCTTGACACTTTTTGATGAATACTGGTATGAAAGTTTTGAGTCTTAAAATAAGTACAAAGCAAAATTGCAAAAATCTTCAAAAGTATTCAACAGTTCTGGTTAGAAACTCTTTCAACAAATCAAGCTGTATTTTATGTCAAAAATTTAATGTTGGAATTTTTCAAAGGCATTTTTAGGCATACCTAGAACCATGGAGGTAGAAAATGCTAGAACCTAGTCATTTGACAGCCAAGTTGTTGATTAACATAAAATGACTGGGAGAAAGGCAAGTGCCAGACTTGCATTGTTGTAATTATGAAAGAGAGAAGTCTCATTTGTCTGGGTTAAATCAATTCCCCCAAGTCATTAGTCTTTTTTGCATGATAAGATTGGTAAATTTGATACTGAGTAGTTGGTTCAGAGACAAAATTGATCCTCATGGGACGGTCATTTCCACTGGGTATGATTGGTGATGTAATAAATGTTTGTATGGGGCTGGCAGCCAGCATATGTACAACAGATTTTAGTGATTATTAGCCAATTTTGGGGAGTACTCATTTGCACTATTTAATGTTTTTTGTGATAAGAAGACTAGTTCGATCTGAAAATATAGTGTAAATGTGTCACCTTTCCAACTCAAAAGTATGGGAAAGAAATTGGGGATGGGGCAACTTAACCTCAACAATAATGTCACAAATTTCAATGTAATGATCTGTTTTGGTCAAAATACAATATGGAAATTTTGCACACAACTGTGATAGGTCTCAAGTAAGGAAATACTTGGTTTAGCATTACTCCAAGCCCTACAATAAAAGTCTGAAGGATCTTTGGTTGAGCAGTGATGCAAAATAGTCTTTACAGAAGTGAAATGACTGAAAAGGCGATTTTAGTGAATCTTTCTGTTTTGTGTTTTGCAGAGAAGATGACATGTTTCTGTTGTTATTTGGAGATGATGTTTTGTTTTGTGTTGTTGTTTAGTGAAGATGACTTGTTTTTGTTGTGTAGAGAGAATGACATGTTGTTTTGTGTTGTTGCTTAGTGAAGATGACCTGTTGTTTGTGTTGTTGTTTACTGAAGATGACATGTTGTTTGTGTTGTTGTTGTGTCCCAGCTGGGAGGAGAGAAGAACGTCGTCAGGGCGGGTCCAGTACCTGAACCACATCACCAGATCTGTACAGTGGGACAGACCACAGAGGTCAGAGCATGGCAAATATTTGGCACCAGTTTGGTCTACGTCTGGCAACTTTCCATCATGGTTGCTGGAGTCCTTCAGAACTTAGATGTTACTACACATCTGAAAATGCGTCTCACTACGAGCCTGCTCACGATTGTTGTACGATCGCAAACAGGACATTTTGGGAAAAGTTGTGCTTATATAATACAAAATTCAGGTGTATTGTTATGGAAAAACCATCTTAGGTCCTTGTTGTCATTTGATGCTGTCACAGCCTGCTGTCAAATTCTACAACATCAAAATCGTATGATGACCTACAATGATTGTTACCACACCGTAAGACAGTACAGTCTTACAATTTCAACACCATAACATATCATACCCCCTTAAATAAAAGCTTTTTATAACATTTTGAACTACATTACACGTACTATGTGTGTGTACCTGTAAGTTGACATTTGTGTGTCCTGTTGTTTCACAGACCGGCCATAGAATACACGCCCAGTAGTAGAGATAGAGACAGGGAAAACGAGGAAAGACAGGCACGACGGGCAAGCCAGCTTCTCGAGCTGCAACAACAACAACAATTGCAACAACAGCTTGCTCAACAACAACAGCAACAACAACAACAACAGGCTGCTGCTCAGGGAGACTCTTCTAGAAATAACGGCGTGTCCAGACGAAGATCGTCACAGAGACATCGGAACTATATAAATAGATCGGAACTGCACCGACTGGAGCTTCCTGAGGGCTATGGTGAGATTTTGTTGTCAGAGATAGAAGGGGAGACATTACTGAAAGGGTTCTCCATTGAAACATATGCTAAATCAGACATGAAAATGGGCATCATATCTATAGTTTACGAAGTTTTTGTCACACAAACTCACCTTCACGTGTTGGCCAATTTAATAATATGTAACTACAACAAGTTTCGGAAAAAAGTGGTCGGCTATTCTCGAGGTACAGCCTTGTTTATAAGAATTCGTGCACTTTGACCCCATATTTTAGGTCGATACCAAGGCAGGAGGCAGGAGGGGTGTATGGCAACAGACAAGCCCATAACAAGGCAATTTCATAGAAAAACTTCATTTTTTTTGCAAAAACATTCACTCAAAACCCTACACTGTACAACCCACCACAAAAATGCCAAGAATTCAGCAAAAATCCCACCCAAGAAAGGGTTTTAAAGTTCTTTAGCTCATTTTAATTTTGAGGTCTCTCACCCAGCAACTTGTGCGCATGCCCTTCAACCCGCGTCACCCCAGAAGATAAGATTATCATAATACGATAATTCGAAGATATTTTTTGTTCAATGCTGTGCAACAGCTTCCTAGCTTTACTTACATTCAATGAAGGTTCAATGGAGGTTATTATTTGAAAGAAATATAAATATATTGTAAGTGTATTGTTTTGCCTCCATCGCTTAAAACACTAACCGCAGTTTAAATATGATGGATGTCATTTATTCAAATTTTGGTCCTTTTCTAGATATAAAGTGTTGCTATCATTCCTTCGAATTTGTGTGCTGTCTAAGTGAGGTAAAGTTAGCACCCTTGTTGTCTGACCCGTGTGTCTTGCCCTTTACTTCACCCCAGAACAAAGAACGACCCAGCAGGGACAGGTGTACTTCCTGCACACACAGACAGGTGTCAGCACCTGGCACGACCCCAGGGTACCCAGGTGAGTCTGTCTGGTCTCAGGTGGCCGTGATATGGTCAACCTTAATCTTCCTGCTTCCTGCTGCATAATTGATATGATTAGAGCTGATGACACAATTATGTAAAGTAAAATGATAGCATATTGAAGCTTGTGCATGGATGACAGAAGTTGTGGCATTAATGGAATGTACTGACGTGCTTTTACTTGCAAAAGGAAATGAGCATGTTGAACTTCTTTCAAAAGATTATGATAAAAAGTGTACAACTAGAGTATCATCCATCTGGCTATTTGGAAGAAGTTCTCGAATAAAAGTAGCATATACATGACTTGCAGATTGCTAGGCTATAACATCTCCCATCTGTTACAACATCCCCAAAAACGTGCAGTCTGTAGTGCTTCCTCCTGCCTTCCAGGAACACTTTGGCCTACAGGAAAGTGTTAATACTAGCTGGGAAGTTGAAGGGCAAAGGGGTGGCAGGATGCTTTTAGTCTGTAGGAAACAGCAGATCTCTACCACTCACACTCCACGCTCTGTGTAGCTGATAGCTGTAATAGAGCCTAGCACTGGCTGACAGGATGTAACCTGTAATACACCATCAGGACTGGACATCAGCGAGCCCAGTGGTAATGGCTCGTTCCGTATAGTTTGTCGTGTGCGCCGGTGCACGCCGTCTGAAGTACCCACTGCCTGGAGGCAAGCTTCAACCTCAAACAAGACTGTCTGCAGACAATATGTCCCTGGTCTAGCAGATGCAAAGTTGAAGAAACAGAACCAAGTTGGTCATGTAGCTGAAGGGATACCCTTTTTGCTTCATATTTATTCCCTGGAAGGGACAGTTGCTAGACTAGAGTGTATGAGGCCTTGAATTGAAACCTGAAATAAACTGTGGTGTGCCCCCTCAACATTTAGCACATAAACTTATTGTTATTTATATCAGTGTACCAGTCCTGATGCTGTACTCCAAGTTATGGAAATACAGTTTGACTGGGCATGGAGTACATGTAACAATACAAATTTCCTTATGCAGGGACCTGGGAGATATCAGTGAAGAGGACCTGGGGCAGCTGCCTCCTGGTTGGGAGATCCGACACACGGCCACAGGAAGGGTATACTTCGTCGACCACAACAACAGAACCACCCAGTTCACAGATCCTAGACTGTCTTCTAATCTACATAATATTCTCAAGTAAGTATGTGATGACTTGTGATGTAGGGCTGCTACCTAGTGGTCTATCACTAAACTGCATTGTCCTGCATGGTCCTGCATGACCATTTTTTATGGCACAGTGCCACAATTACTACCTCACGTTCAAGTCTCGCTTCAACATTTTTCCAGTGCCTCTGCAATAATTGTTGTTATGTAATTTGCTTGAGGGAAGCTTGCAGTAGATTTGTTAGTTTTCAGATCCAAATGATGTCTAAATCTGTTAAACTGCAGGTATAGCTCATGCTTGGGGATACTAGTGCAGTAAACTTAAGTAGGGGTTGGCAATGGAAAAGACAACGGATAATATAGGAGAATAGAATGACATGACACTAAGAGAAACAGAAAACTGAGAACGGTAGTGAAAGTGGGTGTCAAATCTTTGTTGGTGTCCCAACAACGGTCAAATACTTATACTAAGGGATAGATGAGATGGAGAGAATTGAAGTACACCTTGGTCCTGCTGACATGGTACTTCTTCCCTGCACAGTAAACACCAGCAGAGACAACAGACGACCCCGCCGGCCCCTCCCCTGCCCCAGCAGGCACCCCCCTCCCTCCACGGCTGTGACCTGCACATCCTGGAGCAGCAGCCGCCCAAGTACAAGAGGGACCTGCACCAGAAACTCAAGAACCTGCGGGCAGAACTGTCGCAGCTGCAGCCACAGGCAGGACACTGCAGGATCGAGGTGTCCAGGGAGGAGATCTTCGAGGTGAGACAGTCACAGATTCCCCAGATTTGCCTTTTCACGATCAACAGATAGCTGTAAATTCACTCAGTTACACAGTGGTGCTATTTCGCTGCATATTTTTTTTTTTCATTTTGTACTGCAGTAGCAACACAATTCGAAATGTATATCCACTGTGGAGAATTCACTTTGAAAACTGCAAAATAAAACCACTGCAAAGTTAAAATTCACAGTATGCACACATACTTCTTTGTTACAGCTCATCTCTGATGGGGTAAATTGTGTTCCCTGAATTCAGAGATTTTGCATCACTCATAGTATACATAATAGGGTGAAATGTAGCATGTTGGCTGAACATTGCATTGGTTTGAGATTAGTATCAAATTTGGAAACTAACCACCCAAACTTGGTTGCCTCCTCCCACCCAGGAGTCGTACAGACAGGTGATGAAGATGAGGCCTAAAGACCTCAGGAAGAGACTCATGGTCAAGTTCAAGGGAGAGGAAGGGTTGGACTATGGAGGGGTTGCCAGGTACGTCAGACACCTGTATCTACCTTTAAATTCTCTGACGTTTTGTTTTGTCAAACCTTAGTTAAGTGATGGCATCTGGTGTTTCCTGTTGTTGGGGGTGTTGTGTCAGATTTTGTGGTACAATATGTGAACGTGTATAGAATTTATTGGAAAGTAGTATTTGTAACCATTTGACAACAGTAACCATTTTGTTGATAGTGTGGTTTGATATGTTGCTGGTTATGACTTACTGTTATACTACTAGACAGTCAAGCAACCCTTTTCCACCACTAACCACTTTTCCACAGTCCCATGAGTGGTTGTTGATACCAAGCTTGTTGTCCCCATTACAGAGAGTGGTTGTACCTGCTGTCCCACGAGATGTTGAACCCGTACTACGGCCTGTTCCAGTACTCCCGCGAGTCGGACTACACCCTACAGATCAACCCTGACTCAGGAGTCAACCCTGTGAGTTTCTGTAGCTGTACAGTCAGTATAAATGCCCTTCGGTGTAACACAGTAGCTTCAGTATCTGTAGTGAACTGGGTTTCAACAGAAAAACAGGAAAGATAAATTGGGAGCTAGTATTAGGATAGGTAAAAATATTAAACATGGAGGATTCTGTATGTGTTTTCAGTCCAGATTGATATTAGACAAAAATATATGCGAAAATTGCAGACCTTTACCTTTCTACCTACAGATAGGAATGCACAAACATTAGAATCTAGCTTGAGGGAGCTGTAAGTCTCTTTTCTTGGTATGGTTTCGTCCAATATTTGGAGTTGGTTGTACTGCTGATTGATCTCTTGTTTGGAGATTGATTGGTCCTCTTATTTCCCTACAGGAGCATCTGTCCTACTTCCACTTTGTTGGGCGGATTATTGGGATGGCCATCTTCCATGGACACTACATCGACGGAGGCTTCACCCTCCCACTCTATAAGCAGCTACTCGGCAAGCCTATCTCACTGGACGACATGGAGTCAGTGGACCCTGATCTACACAGAAGTCTGATCTGGATTCTGTAAGTCTGAAAATACTGTAGATTCAAAGTTCTTTATTCTCAACCGCTTGTTAAACAAGAGCTGACATTTTGATGTCTGTCTGTTATCTACATTAGGCAGTTATGACTGGTTCACTGTGCACTGAAGCTAGGTGTTAATGATTTACTTTGCACAGAAGCTAGGTGTTATGCTAACAGTGGGGTCCCAAACAGAAAGTAATCGTTACATACACAGATACAATAGTGAGATATGAAGTTCCAAAGGTAAATATTCATTTTGGAGTTTGCTGGACCTAAATTTTGTGGCACGGTATGATTGAGTTTTCAGTTGAAACAATAGGAACAACACAAAGGAAATGTTGATGCCTGTCCATTGGTTTGATGAGTTTGTGATAGAGGAGCTCCATGAAAACTTAATTGCACTAGCCTATAGCTCAGGTGCAGGTTGCTACCACAGGTCTTGTCTTTCCAGACATGACGATAATGTTTGTAAGTTGCTGCAATTAATCCATGGCAGTCTAGACTTGTTTTGTCCTATTCTTAGGAATAATTACATGAATTGTCAGACTGTGTCTGGACCCTACTGACAGTTTATTTGAAGTAGCACACTGAGACACTTGTTATGGTCAGGAGCTGTTGATGGAAACTACCCCAGCTTTATTTTTCTATGGCCATTTTGTTTTGGTAAGTACTTAAAGGGGTGAGCAACAAGTGTTGAATACCCAGGCACAGTGTCTCTTTTATTAGTGAATTGACTGAAGAAATAAAAGAAATTTTAATGTGTTTCAAGTGTGATAGTCCATGAAGTGTTAAAATGCAGGGATGGATATTTCCTCAACATGTGTTTGTCCATGCATTGTTGCAGAGAAAACGATATAACAGGCATCTTGGACAACTCTTTCTGTGTGGAGCAGGACTCGTTTGGTGCCCTCCAGACCCACGAGCTCAAACCCAACGGCTCAGACATTCCTGTCACTGAAGACAACAAGAAGGAATATGTCAAGTATGTTCTTATCTTGCCATTCTCTTGGAATGTAAAAATTACAGAATGTGCAGGCTTATGCATTGTCTATGTAATTTTTGGAAGCAAACACAGTTTATGCTGTTACTGATGATGACAAACATTTTTATTACCCCATTAAAAACTTGGTCTAGTGAGCAGGTTAGCTGCAGTTCTGTTGTAAGCAGACAGATGGCCCTGTTGCTCCACTCATATTCACGTTGTTCCTTGCCCTGCCAGGTTGTATGTACAGTGGAGGTTCCTGCATGGAATCGAGGCCCAGTTCCTGTCCCTGCAGAAGGGCCTACAGGAGATCATCCCTCCACATCTGCTCAGACCTTTTGATGAGAAAGAGCTGGAGGTAAAGACTCTCATTCCTTACCTTTCTCCATGTTTTTAAGCCCCTCTAAGACTTTAGCATAAGTTCTTTATGACCAATTTTTCAATATGCATCTAAGCCTTTGTTCAAAGAATTCTCAAATCAGTCTGATGACTGCTTTTTATTTAGGTCATCAGAGTATAGTCATTGGATTTTGGTTTACCTTCAAAAGTTATCACTTGAACTAATAGATTTTTGTGTTCAGAAAAGTTTTGGTATTGTTTAGTGAGTATCATGCAAACTTTACAAGCTCTTAGAAGTCATAGTGAATTCCCATGACTTAAGGGACATTTCTGTGTTGTTTTTAGCTGATGGTGACAGGCTTAGGTAAGATCGACATTGATGACTGGAAGGCCCACACCAGGTTAAAGCACTGCACGCCGGACTCCTCTGTGGTCAAGTGGTTCTGGCGCGCCGTGGAGTCATTTGATGATGAGAGAAGAGCGCGCTTACTCCAGTTTGTCACAGGCTCATCTCGGGTCCCTCTGCAGGGGTTCAAGGCTCTACAAGGTAAGGAGGCTTCTTACTCCTTTTTCTTTTACATGTAACCGGGCACCATGGCTCTTTTTTTGAGAAGCTAAAATAGATAATTATCGCTACTACATACAATTGCAAGTTATTGATGTTTGGATTTGTTTGCTTAACAAAAGATCATTTTTCATGAGCCATGGTGCCAGGTTCTAAACTGGCTGCCATGCTCACCGTAACATCACTGGCAGCATTGAACTGAATTAAGTGGTTGCAAGATTTGATGTTGCCTAACACCAGAGGAGTATACTTTTTGTCAAAATCATCTTTGTTCATTGAATAATGCCTATCATGGACTGTCTTCAGGAACTGTTGTATGTCATTGTCATTGTTGCATGCATGGGAGATAAAGGAGCTTTAGAAAGTCATTTGCAGCCATAGCAGGGAAAATTTTCAGAAACTAAAACTGGTAGTGTGTAGAAAGAGCTGACCTGATGTGTTGGATGTTTCCTCCCAGGTTCCACAGGAGCAGCAGGCCCCAGGCTGTTCACAATCCACCAGATTGATGCCAGTACTGATAACCTGCCCAAGGCTCACACATGGTAAGACAAAGTCACGTACAGACAAACATGCCTGACTCTACAGAACTACATAAGAACCACTTGGCCATTTTTTTGTGGTCCCTTTAACTTAGATAATAATTTTGTCATTGACACAAACACCAGTCCACATACATCAGAATTCTTTTGTACTTCGACTGTTCTTCTTTGGCATTTTGGCCATTTTAATTTTCGTCTCAAAACGTATATATGGCTAATGCGTTGCTTGTGGAAATTTTGTCCTCACAAGAATGAAGTTAAAAGTTTGTATCAAAGGTGCATAACCATTGAATTTTCTAATTTGGGTATTCTTATCTACTTAGGCTTTGCACTAAGAATATTTAAAACGTACCTATTGTTGAAATATAGTAGCCAGTGAAAGTATCATGTTTTGTACGTATTATCTGTGATCTGCTCGTTGTGACATCATCTTTCTGCCCCGTTTCAGCTTCAACCGTATTGATATCCCTCCATATGAGAACTACGAGAAACTATTGGAAAAACTAACTTGTGCTGTGGAAGAGACGTGTGGATTTGCTGTGGAGTGATGGAAAACCTGCAAGTCAACATGTTTTTACCCTGCCCTCCCCCTTCATGAGTGGTCTGTTCCAAGAGGAAGAGTATCTGACTGTTGTATTCAATTATAGAATGTTCCACTTGTGCGGGGGTTGGGCTGTGCATATAAAAGCAAGAATTGAAATGGTTACACAGATGCTGTATTGTGTATATGTGCATAACAGAAAAAAAGAGAGATCATCCAAGTTTATGGACATTTCATAACAATTTTGTACAAATTTTGAGCTTCCTTAATTTATTTGAAAGTCTGCGACACTGCTATGTGAATTGGTTGTGCCTTAGTTAGCCAAGCTTTTAGCATGACACAAGGCAGTGCACTTACTGAACTTGATAAACTGTGCTTTTTTTCTAGCCCTCCCCCTAAATTTTCACTAAGATTGTAAATAATTCTGTTTGTCACACCAGCCTTAGTCTTGTGTTAAGTGTCTCTTCACACCCTTTTCTCTATCCTGTATAAAAAAAACACAACATGTTTTTAAAGAAATTAAGAAAAAAAAGAACAACTTGTTGGTATGTAGTGCAAAATGTACCCAACAGTTTTTTTAGCCAAAGTGAAGATGCTGTGTCCATTATATTATTTTCCCTCTCCCCTCAATTCCTGTCTGCCAAATTTTGCACAGAATAGGTTATGCAGTAGATTCCTGGCTGGTGTTCCAAACAGAGTGTAGTTTGGTAGGTTTATGTAGATAGAACTCAATGAGGAGGAGGCTTGTCTGCATGTTAACTGGTGTCAAAATTTGCAAACCATAACCATTATTTAAAAGAAAACCCTCACAGTAAAATGTAGTATTGAATTGTGGCTTGTGGCTGCCTCATGGCTATTTCTTTATGCTGATAAAACCACCCTCTTGTGATAGTGGTATAGTGTAAGTCAAAGGGAAGACAGGTTTGTCTGTCATTTGGGCTATACCATTTTGGTGGGCATGGGTGGATTAGACTCTTAAAATGCTGCGTGGTGAACTGCCTAAAGCTGTGTGTTTTCAATCTGCACTTTCCATAAATATTAATATATATATAGCTCAACAGGTATTTTAGTAACTCCAGAAAATGCGGTGAGCTTGCCAGGAAAACACAGAAGAAGAAAAGGAAATTTATATTTTATGACCACAGTTTTCATACCGGTAAAACACTTTGTCTATTCCAGATGAACAGGTATATTTTCTAATGGTTTCCACAGTAAATACAGTAAAATGGTTTCATTTGATGGGGCTACATTCTAGCAACTCTGGTGTGGTAGGCAAAATAGTAGGTCTTTACTTTAGTAAAACATGTTTCCAGATATAAATGTGAGCTGATACGTACCCAGTTTTATGTTTGGAAAGGTAGGTTTTGTGATTCAGACCAAAACTGCCAGACTTGCTTAAAATTGAACACGCCAAAAAATTCTCAGTACATCTTGTCATTGCCCATTGCTAGATCCACTTATTTATGTGTTAAAAAGTTACTGTTCTTAACAATTATACTGTCATGTCAAAGGTGGTTTAATGAAAATCCATCTATAGACCATCATTTTGTGTGTATACCAGTAATTTGATATAGACCCAGAACTACACTACTAGAATAGTGGCACATAGACAGCTCCTTGCAGGTAACCATGGAACTGCAGTCCAAACTTTACAGTATTTACTGCCAGTACTTGGTTAAACCTTGTTCCAAAAGTTATAGAGGCCCTAATTTTAATCATAATGGCTGCTGAAATTTTTAATGAGGAAGCTAACAAAATTCAGAAATGAGTATCCCTATAACTGGCCATATATGTGCTACTTTTGTCGTCTGTTGGACCTGTACATAAGTGCCAATGTCTGCTTCTCTCTGCAGTGCCACCCTCCCTAGTTAGTCTATTCGATGCCAGTATTGTGGAAATGTTCCTCATATTCTCACCTCACACAGCATGAAGTGGTGAATGTGTAGGCATGTGTATAGGTACTAAGCCTCTCTGTACAAGTATGCATATTTAGTAGATATGATAATATTGTGTAAATTATTTCATAATTCACAGTAATTTATGTGTATATCTCTCCACTGAACATGTACAATTTGGTCCAGCCGCAGAGCCTAAGGTGACACGTTGTCATGTAATATGACCCACAATTGTGTACAGACAAAATAAAACCCAAGTTTGGTTTCATTTTTTACCTCAGTTTTTTATGTCGTTTGTCTTCTTTGAATAGTGTTAAAAGTAGTAGACATAACGCATTCTCAATAGGTTAGCAAGTACATTAGTGATATATTTAGAATTGTGCTCGGTTCATTACTAGTTCGGGCGTGAGCATTCTTCGATTGATGATATTCCAAGGACAAGCAAACCAGTTTGGTAAGATAACTTGGGAGAAAGGATAATTTTGTCAGTGGCTCGACTTTCCATTTTCCCCGTAAAATGACTAAGTGGGAGACCAGCTCCTCCAGTGGCAATGATCACCGGCTGTAGATAATAATGTCTAACATAAAACCGAACCCAGAGGCGTAATGAGCATGTTTTACTCCTCTTACGTCCATCTGCGTCTATAACAGCATCATTACCCCAGCAGCGTGCTAGCGATATCCACCAATGCAATCTTGTAGCAATCTTCCGTCAATTGCCGAGAGACAGTAAAGTATCCCATCCAGTACAGTTTGCCTGGCAGCTAGATTACCATCGCCATGTTAGCTTGATCTAACTATTAGTCTGAGATGGCGGGTTTCTTCTTTCGATGTCAGTGAAGTGACGTTGTCGGCGTATTGTGATGACGAGGCCCACCGGGAACTTAAAATTCTGATGAGCAGCATCTACTATCATATCAAGATGTAAAGAACTGATCAAGATTGGTTTCTGACCCACGAATAGCATACGCGTTGTAAAATCTAGTTGTGAAAGTTGTTGTCTGTGTAATAGGTACTGCCAGATGGTCCCGGAATCCAGCCTTGATAACTCTTATCCGAAAATATCATGTAAGCCGTAAAATAAGATGGGAAGCTGGGATGAGTTATTGGGAAGTACACATTTGGGGGTCTCTCGTGTAGGTGTGTGTAGATCATATTGGTGCAGCAATCCTCCGGCATATAATCCAGCTGGGCATACTGTTCAAGCATGACACACAGACCTGCTGCTAAAAAAGCAACTTTTCTGACAATTAGTGTCTGTGTCTTCTCCCATCAACACGTTCGATATGGCAATGAGAATTAATTATGCAGTAGTTATCGCCTTTATTCATGCCAATAGTCGTTTATAGCTGACGTGCTCACACAGTCCCGACGTATGCATCCTATGCATATGTGGCTAATCTCCAAGCAGATAGTTTGATGGCTGCACTGCAGTATCGAATTGGCAAGTATCGAAACTGTAGAAGTATCATTGGCAGGGCAATATCCAAAACGCCACCCGAAAATGGCTGGCAAATATTCACCAGTACAAGAAAGAAAGTCCGATGAAACGCCTAACAACAAGTCAAAAACAAGCCAAAGCCCAATCCTCCGCTAGTAGAATACCCGTGGGCATGTCGTAAAACCAGAAGTACGTTCCACATCTTCGAATTTTATCGCCGAATCGTACTGCGCATCACATGAAGTTCCAGCCATTCGTATCTCATTCTATTTTACAGCTGAAGTTGTTGGAGCCTGGGGAACTGCTGTCGTAATGATTGATCCACTCAGACCACATGAAGGCTTGTCATCAAGACACACCTCCGACAACTCTTCGAAAGCTGGCTACACTAATATCTTGTTAGGGCGCCCAGGTTTCCTTTCAAACTTGTGGCACAAGACAGCTTTGTCACAGCATACTAGTACTTTGCGACAGCTTCGTTTTTGGAGTTGTGCGTTGCCGAGAATGATGAAAATACTTTTTCTGACTCAGCACCTCTTTTTGATTCTTTTATTTAGATTAAGGCTCAGTGCAGTTGATAGAAACTAGGATGCAGCATTAAGTAGGTATTGACGCTGTAGCTTAATTGCTCTGAGGGCCATTCAAAACGCCCTTGCCCTTATTCCAAGTGGAGTTGCTCCACATTTCTTTAATTAGGCCTACTCTGGCTTAGACTAAAGCCAATACAGATTTGATGAGTAAACCTGGCCATTTGTTTTTGTGAAAGGTGACCCGAGTGCCGCTGTGGGAACGTCGGTAAGAGACCACGTGATTTGAATGTTGACCTTCCGTTTTGACGTGACCATGTCCTTGGCGTGACCTTGAAACCAGACCAATCCGTTTTCCTAGGCAGACAAATATTTCATAGTTTACTGTTTCAAGTGCGACGGAAATAACATTCGGTCAGGAAGGTTGGAGCCACTGATGCAAAATATATCTTTGTTCTCTTGAATCTGACTTGAAATATATACATTATTCTAGTAGACTACGGGCTTCTTTACTCCGCATTTGTCTAAGTCCGTTATGATTAATTCAATGGAATGAGTCATCATTACACAACTATTACACTGGATCAATAATTTATTGAAGCTAAAGGACATAAGGGCTGACCTAAGATAACCCTACAGGCTTTTGTAAACATTATTGATCTCCACATCTCCTGGGATGTTACTGCTCAGAACTGTGCTGATCCATCAGCTTCTTAAAATACCAGGATATGTGAGAGACTTAATCATACTGACAATTGCTTATGCGAGTACATGTAGAGGGTAGATGTTGAGAAGTATTATTAAAGCTGGACGTCATCGCATTTCTCAGTGTCGAGAATACTCCTATTTGGGCCGGTGAATGCTGGAAAGGGCTTAAAAAAACTTGTATCACAAAATAAAGATTAGGTCCCACAGACCAGAGCTGAGCACGGAATATCTCGCTCAGGTAGGTTGGCTATGGTCCCATATTTTTTTCACTGTTAAATGGGACGAGATTAATTACGTATTAGTAATTAAAACAGTAATTGCTGCTCATAATGTGTAGTACATGGCTGGCAGCAGGCAATAAATACTGGCGAGCGGTGAGTAAACGGTGCGATTTATACCCCGGGTTTAGACGTAAAAGTTATGACCAGGGACAACGTCCATGATCCTGATTTGCTACTGGGCAAATTAGGATTTCCTGTTAATATATTAGAGTCAGGCGGATTGGGTCACTTTTGGGATGTCACATTAAGAGTCAAATGACCCCTAATAGGTCTATCTATGATATCATGAGACACTGCCGTTGTGCTCAGAATCGTGTTTCATCCAGAATCATGCTCAGTCATGGTTCTGGATAGCTCACGCGTATCAATAACCATGGGTGGGAAAATCAACGTTCTTGGATACTAGGAGGCTGTTTCGAATCGTACCTGATTCTAAATTTGTCTAAATCTGGAAGTATCTCTCACTGCTCGGGACCTGAAGAAAGCAGAGGCTCTTCAGATAGACACAGACGTAATTCTCAGGTTTAATTGATACCAGTTCCCGGATCACCATGCTCGATTCCAGTCTTGATCCTCCCTGGAACATTATAATTGCTACAGTCTGGCAGATTTCCATGGCGTAATTGCTTGACCTTTATTTATAATTCATCAATTAAATGTGTTCGAGGTATGTCTGAGCTGAGAACTTTCCTCCGCTGCCATTAAATAAAAACGTAGGGAATACCCAAGGCGCTTCTTCTAATGCTGCAAGATTTGGTTGCCACTGTGTAGACTGTACATTGGCGACGCTAACGCAATTATGCTCATAGACCTTAAGACAAAACCTTATTTCCTGACTAGATTTCAATACCCAGGAGATATGGCGATTTTATAGCCAATTGTGGGAGATTCCGTGGTCTCTATTTGTACAATCAGCGCTCTGATATATGTATACATGTAACATGTTATAACTGTCTAATCAGTTAATGGTCGTGCGTCCAGAAAGCAATTTCCGGGCGCCTTATATCAAAACGCCAGACGCCAAATAAATAAGACAAGTTCCATTCTTGTTTTACGGTAACGATACATACAAATTTAACAAAGGCTGCGGCAGCTATGTTCCTACGAAAAATGCGATGGTATTTTGCTAGCCTCTGTCACAGACCCCGTTTAAATTTGGTTTCTGGTTCTGAATTTGTTGCCAACGGCTGGTGGCCGTTCAATTCTGAGCAAGAAATTAGAATACAGTACATAACGTTACATGTTTTAAATCAGAAAAACCATAATCGTATATGGTTAAAGAAAAAATTCTCAGTGAGGTCTTTTAAAAAAATATAAGCTTATCCGAGCTTCCTGGCATGCAGCTTTAATGGATTAATCAAGGAAAGTGACTCCTATTAGTTCTAGCTGATTATAATGGTTCTATCGGGCAATGGTTGGAGCCACTCCATTCCACTTATCCGCATACTTGATATCTCATTACTCTCATTCCGATAACATTCTTTCCCACATCTTTGTCTTTCGAGGTAAATGTATTCCCCAATCATTTACAATATATGCCTGTTTCGTTACTGTTCTTATTTAAACCAGCCCCACTCGGCACCGAATAAAGCGTACCCCTAATCTTTCAATGGGATAACCCACAACATTCAAGAAAAGCCGTGTATCGCGAACTGCGTCTCTCCTAACTCTCCGGCACGGAAACGTTGCCAAGTTCCTGAGGGAGCTATTTTGGACCTATTTCATTTTGATCCCGTGATTTGTACGTCGGTGAGCAACAAGAGCGGTCTGGATATTTTTCTCTGTACAACTGACATCCCCGGCTAGGTGGTTAGTGGGGCAACAAGACTCATACCCGACGTCGGGACTACCACTGATTTTAACCACCGTATTTTTGTCTTGTGACAGCAAAAGATTGCAACCCGACATGCTTTGATCTAGCGGAGAAATGCTCTGTTGAGGTAGGTGTATACATTAGCGTATGACCACCTTGTTAGGATAACCTTTGACTTACATTTCAGCTATCTATGACGATACGGCGATTGTCGAGGATTTTCCCTTTTTGTGCCAATCGGTGTTGTGATCCCAGCATGACCCGTGCAGTTATCCATTTACGGGATATTTTATATGAAAAATTTTTGCATTATTGATAAAAAAAGGGCCGTCGTTGTTCCAGCGAGTCGGCTGCATGAAGTCCAGGGAATACGCCTGTTGAGCCAGTCTGCACGCCGCTAGCTACTGTATCATTCTGTATTGGATGGTCGATGTTTGGTCTGGATTTTCATGAGTTAAGTTCAATAAGTCATCGTACCTGTATCTGTGTAGCCGGTATGACCGCCCTTGGGCGTAACACTCCAGCTTCGCAGGCGGCGCGCTGTGGTACCAACTTGTTGTATATAAACTGAACTACCTGGCACACCTAACCTTTGTATAGTGGACATATTATTATTATTCTCACTGCTGTGACATCCGTGATTCCCAAGCTGATATCGATGTCTGCGTAGGGCGTGCAGAGCTAAGTGGTTTGAAATTGGCACCAGAATCCATACCCTTCATGCTAGAGTGCTGTCGGGACCTACACAGACCACCTCCAGGACCTTTAAAGGCACACAAAGCAATTTTAGGGCAGTGAAACTGGATTTTTAAAGTCAATTGTCACAGATTTCAGTCGGGATATTTTTGCGAGGTCCCAGAACAGCCGAGAGGCTGGGCTGTGTTGGCTTTGGTAATACAGTGCAAAACAATGCAGGGAGGGCGAACAGTGGATGAGAAATGCTGACCTAATGACTTATGCCGATGTCTAAACATTTATCGATATCCAGCTTCCATACGATCTGTGACTATGTCAAAGAAACAAGGTCATCTGAGCTATTGGCTTATCAACGTTAAAGCCTTACATGTATGTAGAATTGAAGGAATTAGCCGTATAAAGACGTTGCTCGTACCGCATAAATGTTTTACGATCCCCGCAATTAGACTGAGCACGAGTTCGATTATGGCCTGTGATAATGTCATCATGACGAACCATCAGATACACACGTACTGTGTGACTGTGAAGTGCAATGCGCTGGCAATATTGGCACTATAAATTACGATTTTTGACTACTCGAAGCAATTTTGAGGCTATAATCGATTTCGTGAAGGGGATTACTGAAATTCCCGGGGAAGCCTCAGGCATAGAAGCAACCGATCACCGTTTCCTTGTTCCAACACGTATCTGTAGGCACGGGCGAGTTGGGAACCCATTCTCTGTCCTTTAGCCGTCTCATAACGTTTATTCGCCCTCGGGGACTCTCTCTTTTGTCACGTTTGAACGCCATCTGCAATCTAGCCATTCGGGGCGCATTTATGGAACAATAATTCAGCCCTTCTCCCCTACAAGGATCTTATCAAATTTTCACAGCATCCGTAACGACATGGCAAAATCGATATGAACGAAGGTTCGTGCACAACGTTATACCCAGATTTTCGCCTACAAAGGTGTCATAAAAACACACATTGAATATAGCAAATAACACGGACCTAACAACCCTGGTCAAGATAACCATTCTGCACAAAAGGTAAATTTGTAGCGTGCATCGGGGTACCGCTGTGTACTAACAGAGTTGTCAGGTGGTTCATCGTTAAAACGAAAGTGGGTCATGGTGGCTTAGCTTTACGATGATTTCTACCGAAAGGAAATCATGTTTTATGATCTCATTTGGCAATCTTGGAATCTGAACCAAGACCAACGCCACAAATTTCATTGTTTGATCACATCCCTTTATTGATTAGTTTGACCTCATTTTTCTATGGAGTAGGTTGTTATCGATGTGTGGACATGTCTAAATACGGCCATAATCTTCTTGTGACGGAATGTGGTGCGGCCCTCAGCTGCGCGCTTGGGATAGAGTACTTGTTGAGAGATGTTGTTGTATATCCAGAACCGTGATTTATCCATTGTCTACGCTGTTGATGTATCCACAACCGTGCTTGGGCCGTTGGGGCAAATCTACGTTCTTGGATATGAGAAGACTATCCAGAACCGTGCCTGATCATAACCCAAACTCTTTCAGGCATCAAACTAGATAGACACGGTTCTGGATACAATTGAATTGGGGTTTGGGACGTGTCTCTCGTTCTCGTCTCTTAGGACCTGGTTACATTCGTCGTAGGATCTTCGTACGATCGCACAAACTAAGAATATTCGAAGGATAGTCGTGCATGTGTTGTACAAATCCGGCTGTCTTGTTACCGAGAAAGCTGTCGGCATTTGGTTCTGTCACAGCCTGCTTGAAAAATCAAATCTACGATTACCTAAGACGCGAATAAGACCGCGCCGTTACATCCCATAAATTGTGTGATATTTTCTTCTGAAGCATATATATATGTCGTAATAAAATACTTTTATCAGTGTGAATTCGTACAACGTTAACGTTCTTTGGCTGCAGTGTTCTGCACCGACTGTATATAGTCAACGTTCTCTAGTGTAAACAACAGTCGCCAGCTGGTCCATTACCACTAATGGAAGAAAGGATGAAAGATTATTATGTCAACACAGCAGCGACTGGCTGTGCTTACTTTTACTTGCCGTCTTTTATACGGTAAGCGCCACAGCCATGTAGCCTTTACCGTGTGACTCCCCATGGGTTTCCCACCTACGGAGGAAGCAGTCTAAAGCTTCCACTTTAGATTCTTTAGTTAAGAAAACAGAGTTCCAATGCGTAGGCGAAGTCGAAAGCCTTACAGTGTACAAAGAAATGATTGAGATTTTCTAAAGATTTACCTGATTACCGATGGCATGCATGACTAGAAAAAGGAGTATGAACCTCATGTTTATATTCCTAAAGGGCAAAATATACATTAATCCTACTTTATGAACTTGCACAGTGAGAAATTTGATTCAGATAAAAATAGCGGGTAGTACTTATCGAAGCAGAAACAAAGCATTTGAAAGCATTCCCGTACGCGTATTCGCTAAAATGCTTACTTTGTAAACCTTTAGGGCTGGAGCACCTAATAGGAACCACAACGATCGGTTATTTCATCCAGAAAGTTGCTAGATAGCATAACCAATTCGATTTTAGCCCAGAGGGAAAGGCATTTCTGTTTAGTCAGAGGTTTCTTGAAGAGTTTTAAAAGATGTATTCATAGAACGGACAAAGGTGTTTTTCTTCATTCCCACCGTGACACGGTAACGTGGACTTCACTGACATCCGTAATCGATGTGGCGCATTGTAAGGACAACGCCTGTCACCAGCCGAGATGAAGATACAAACCATGTCACCATATTAAGAAGTCGGTACATCTCTCAGCAGCACCTTTGTTTCTTCGAAATCGATGTCTAGCCATGCATCCATGTGAGAAGGTGGTGCAGTGAGTGCCTTTAGACCAATATGTGTCTGGCGCGAAAGAGAATGTATTATCTCAGACACAATACTGTAATGTGCACAACGTCCCCTGTGAATTCTGATTATTATACTCTCTCAATTTAGTATGTAGTCCCTGTTCACTACGGATAGAATGGTGTAAATATTGGAGACATCATATAGCACTGTTGACCAAATTTGCCATTCATTGTATCCGTTACAAATGTTGCTCAATGAAGTCGATTGCTTCTAAACAACAGTAGACAATATCCGTCCATGCAGTGGAGTGGAAAACACCCCAGGTGTTCCCTACGTCATCCCTCCCGCTCACCCCAGCCGGTCATCACGGCGATCCTCCCCGCCACGCGGGTGAGATGTTCCGCCGTTCCAGGAAGCCAATCTGCGTGTGTTCCCACCGTAAATCCCCCGGCTGTACCGCTCCGTCGGAGCCAGCTGCGCGCGGACAGACGCCGTGTTAAGGGCTTGATGTAGGAGAGCCTCCAAGTGAGCTTCCTGTATTGGCAAACTGCTTCCTGACAGCGGAGATAACCTGAACGTCTTGATTGAATCACTCACCGGAGCCTTGTACGGATTTGCCTGTCCCGTCTGTGATGTAGACTCGCCAACTTCCTGCGGAATGCTCAGACCAGAGTCTTCCTCGTCACGCTTGTGGACTTTTCCGTCAATCCAAAAGCTTCCAATGTTAACTTAGTCGGGAATGTGTCTGTCGCGGGCGGGTGTACGTTTGTGTGGCACTGATTGTACGACAAGTCAGGCGAGTACAACACCGGATATATGGATGTCATGTGTGAAGGTAACAGTACTCCTCATCTCTTGGCTCTTGCTTTTGTTGACTTCTCTCTCTGCACTTCAAAACCCGAAGATTCTATGCATATGGCTGATCAGCTGCCTAGGTTGTCTGGCTGGATGATTTTTGTTTTGATGATGAGATTCCGTGAAGATTCATCCCATGATTTGGTTGAGTTTTAGAGGAATGTCAAGTGAAGGGTGGGTGTGGTGAAACATATCTTTTCATACATTGGCGTATTTTGAGGTACGCCAGCGACTTAATTAGTAATAATGGAACCCTTCAGACCCTTACTCATATAGATATCAAGACAAGACGTGCTATTTTCGCGGTAGTTGGGTGTTTCTTCTGACTAAATGATTCATACTGCACTGCCTTAATGTGTCCTCTGTGGACACCCTGTCAGGGTAAGTTTACTTGATTAGACAGGCAATAACATTTGCAGACACGCGCCATGGACTATTTATGAAGTGTGAGAGATTGGAACCAGTCCAACCCGTAGTGGGGCGACTCATTCCGAGCGGTACCTAGGGCCATCTATATGTAGTTATGAACCTATCATGAGAAGTACTACATCAGGATCTAATCTACAAATCATCCAGTGGGTATCAGGGACAATTAGATTTCCCTCCGACCCTATGGCTTTGAGCCTGATCATAACGGATTGCGAGAGATACCTCATCAGCGAAACTGTAATATTCAAGTCCCATCGCCATTAAATGGAACCAAACGCGCGCCTTTCATATTTCAGACTAGCATAGAGGATCGAAAGACTAGCAAGGAAAACTTGTTACTTAGCTAAGGT